CGAATATTTCATGGCATACGAAGCCACGAAGATGTTGCTATCTGGAAAATGAAGATGCAATTTACAAACAAAAATACACATAGTTTACGCAAAGACATATTACAGAAACATGCAGTGCAGTAGGAAGCTCTTTTTTATTAGGGGTGGGAACGAGGACCGAAGGCCCGAGGAAATTTTTAAATTCTCTGAAATGCTATTTCCTGAACTTTGGGGAAGTTTTGACAGAATTCTGATGGTCAGAAAACGGAGTTTTAGTATGATATTTGTGACGTTACTCTGAGTATGCATTCACAGCGGGCAAGCTGAAAAGTTTGCTTGGCCACGGTGGGTGTCGAACCCGCGACCTTTGGGATACTAGTCCAATGTTCTGCCAACTGAGCTACGTGGTCAAATCGGTTCGAGTTGTTAATAGAGTTTTAGTATGTCGAAATTTACGATTTGCTTACAATTTAGTAGAACTAAATAAGCGAAGGCGTATTTAATTAACTATATATTGCAGGAAAGAGTATAGGTAATATGATTCTTTGCGGTTTGTCATGGATAATGTAGCCGCTTAATAAAATTAATCAATAGACCTTTCCCCTTATGAGTGAAATTTTGATCTAGACAAGCCTAAACAAAAATTTCATCACAGCTTGAAAGAGCATCACAAAATTAGTAATATTCCGAAGTTTCGTTGCGAAATGTTGTAAAATGCGTATAATATAGCCTTGCGAAGTTTGCCGTTTTTCAGTCATTGTATTACAAATGGGAAATTGATAATGAGTTTGATCATCTGATTATCAATTTCCCGTTTGTAATACAAAATGATTGAAAAACGGCAAACTTCGCAAGGCTATATTAACCGCATTTTACAACATTCAACGAAACTTCGGAATATTACTAATTTTGTGATGCTCTTTCAAGCTGTGGTAAAATTTTTGTCCAGGCTTGTCTAGATCAAAATTTCACTCAAATGGGGAAATTAAGGTCTATTGTAGAGGTGTGCAAATCCGATCCGAATCGGATTCGTTCGGATTTCGGAACCAAAATGTAAATTTCGGATCGGATTGATAAAGTTGTTTCGTAGTCGGATCGGACTTCGATATCCGAAATAAAATGAATTAATTATCCATGCATTATCGCAAGAATTAATTATCCATACATTTATCAAAGTATCATCGCGGTTTTCGCTGCATTATTCGTTTGATACTTCAATTGGACGTCACTTTGTCAGCTTCTTGACATGTATTTCTTGCTTTTATATTTATTTGGTCAAATATTTCAACTTGAATGAGAAATTTATTTTATTAAAGAATTCATCGGATCGGATTGGAATTCTTTTTCAAAACTCGGATCGGATTCGGATTAGAGTTCGGATCGGATTTTAAACATTAGGCAATTGTCGGATTATAAACGTCCAATCCGATCCGATGCACACCTCTAGTCTATTGTCAGTATTTTAAAGGTATATTATTTAAATGATAAAGGTGTGCATGATTTTGAAAAAAGAATGATTATCAGCAAATTATTGTAAGGGCTGCTGCCTCCAGTCCCCCCTCCCCCCGACTGCTACGGCCCTGAGAAGTAATAAACCGAAAAACATTTACCGATTTACGATTTGTTTTACGTTATCCATGTAAATGCCGTGATTTCGTAAATCAGTTTATACCGATGGTTTATACTGACAATACCATTTTATAATACAAAACAACTAAAATTTTGTTATACTATTGTTGCCGTAATTTTCCGAATGGCCAACCCGATTTCCGAATATGTTAATTCTACAAAAGTTGGGGGGGGGGTTAACCCCCCCCCCATACCCCCCTCGCTACGGCCCTGTATTCGGAGTGTGCTTCATCTTATATTCCGCGAGATTATCGGCTGGTAAAGGATCCATTACGTTAGATTGCAATTAATTATACTACATTAAATTGGGATTGTCAGAAACTAATAATTTTGTTGGTTTCTTAATTGCTTTAAAAAAACGCTACACATTATACTAATACATTGCAATACAGTACAGTACAGTACAGTACAGTACAGTACAGTACAGTACAGTACAGTACAGTACAGTACAGTACAGTACAGTACAGTACAGTACAGTACAGTACAATGGTGCTTAGAACTACAGGCGTAAAAATCTCACATCTTGTAGCAAGCCTACCAACAAGTTGTGTTCGCACTGCTTGTCCCAAATTGTCAGCAAGTTTGTCAAGTCGTTAACAACTTCAGTTGTAACAACCTTGTCAAGGGTTGTTCCAACAAGTCTGATAAAGTCATGATATAATATCAGAAAATAGAATCTATTCAGAAAAGAGCTTTGAGGATCATTTTTCCATTCCTGTTATATATCACGACTGTATCAGACTTGTTAGAACAACCTTGTAACACGTCTGATAATGCCATCGAACTTATCACAAGTTGTTAACAGCTTGTTACAAATTTGTTACAACAACTGCGCTACGAACAAAGCAGTGCGAACACAACTTGTCGACACCTTCTGAACACATGTGTAACAACTTGTTTGCAATAGACCTGTAACAACTTGTGCGTTTTTACGTGTGCATATAGTTAACAAAAGCCGTGGACAAACTACGGGCGACCTGCGCGGTTCGTTTACCCAGGGGTAACCCGCGGTTCGCCTGCATGGGTTTTACCAAGGCGCACTAAAAAACAGGCGGTGAAACGCGGAGATAAATGACCTTTCTATAACGTGTGATTCATCCAGTGAACGCGTTCATTAAAAATGAAACATATACTCGCAAACCGCAATATACCGAAATTCATGTCGGAATTCCGAGCATGTGACGTTTTTGTGCGAGTAAAATGGGATAGAAAATTGAATTGCTATAGATTGTGAGAATATTATTGCATTATTTGTACTTTCTGTTGCTGTGTTACTGTAATTTGCTCTCACCATCAAATAATCACAGTACTTAACATTTTTACTGATGCCTATTTTTTTATTGCAGGAATTATAATAATAGTAAGTAAACCTTTTATACTATATGATATAAAAAATTGAAGATTAAAGATGGGGTCAAGTCCGTTCGACGGATCGCGGTTTATTTACATTTTGAGCACACTATATTAAAAGTATGATGTACTTAGTTAAATAGCTAATATCTAACATCGTTCTGGTTTGCTATGCTTTTAAATGAATACACATTAGAGTTTCAATTTAGAAGATGTCGAAACAACGCGAAAATTGGGTATCACATCAGAGGGTCCTCACACAGCACATGCCCAGAACAGACTTGACCTCGTTTTTAAGGGTTTGAAAAGGGTTCAGAATCCTAGGATGTCATTTTAATTGCACGCATGCCCTCACAGGCGAGCAGAATGTGAGCTTAATTTTGCTCAAATGAACAGAACTTGTAGCTTAGTTTTTACGAACAATAATTGCTTTAGTACTTTATTTTTCGTACTATGGACAGGAAGATTTGCCTATAGCATTGATTATTCTTCAACTGTGGTAAATGTGTTACTTTATTTTTACAGTACAAAGGTCCAAAGGGTGACAGAGGTGAAAAAGGGGCGAAGGTGCGGATTGTTATCATCGTATATAAAAACTAGAATGCAACAACGTACAATTTTATTTATTCAATGAAAGTATTATATGTCAACCCAAAAGAATAAAAAGCACGGATCTTGTTTAATTCATAAAATTGTATTCTCACGATAACAAGAATTCTGAATTTGTTTATTTCTAACAGGGTGTATCAAAAAACCTGCAAACACTATAATTTACATAATTCTGCTGTTTACTATATACATTTCAATGTCTGTGCTACTTATTTTGCTCCTGGATTTGAAAATATATTCTAATTAACCGCGTTGATAGAAATTAGAATAACACAAAGTTATTTGTAATGCAGAAAACTAATTATCAGTTCGACTGCGAATTGGTCAACTATTGTGTTCACGCACGCTTGGGATCAATTAGTTCTGAATCATGCAAATTCTAAAAACATTGTATTTCAAAGGGTTTGCAGGTTTTTTTAATACACCTTGTAGTATGTATATTATAAAAAAGGGCTCGTCTGTTACCTCCATGAACAGGCATTGAGATTGGTTGATAGTGCATAACAATGAAAGACAATACACTCCTGTACAGGGTGAGTAAAAAAAAACTGATACCTTCGCGGCTAATTTGAATAACAAAGGTATCAGTTTTTTACTCACCCTGTATATATATAATACATTTTCTAAAGAACGAGTCCTTTTGTTTTAGACAGTCAATCACAAAGCATGATTATTTTAGGGCAGATATTACTTGAAAAAGGTGTAAATCACAGTTTTAAAAAAAGCTGCCTAAAGTAAAGAACTGCATGCTCTGACTTCCCCTGCTTGGTGACTTGATAATCGAATCGACGTTTCATTTCATAAATTAGTTCACTGCACAGATATGGTAATTAAATTAGGGAGACTTTAAGAAATATAAAACAAGACACACTCCATTAAACAAAAGCACCTTGTGCACTCAAAAAAACAGCCAGAAAAAAAGATGTACAGTAAAATTTTGAGGTGTGATAAAATTTGATTAAAATATTATCGTTGTCTTGTGTATTACTCGAATCTTATATGTATACTTTTTTTTGGAGATCTAGTTTGTTTTGTGTTGTGTTGTGTTGTGTGTTGTGTTTTGTTTTTTGGGTTTTTTTTTGTGTTTTGTGTTTTGTTTTGTGGTGTTTTGTGGTGTTGTGTGGTTTGGTTTTGTGTTGTTTTGTGTTGTTTTGTGTTGTTTTGTTTTGTGTTGTTTTGTGTTGTTTTGTGTTGTTTTGTTTTGTGTTGTTTTGTGTTGTTTGGTTGTTGTTTTGTGTTTTGTTGTGTGTTTTTTTTTGTTTTGTTTTGTTTTGTTTTGTTTTGTTTTGTTTTGTTTTGTTTTGTTTTGTTTTGTTTTGTTTTGTTTTGTTTTGTTTTGTTTTGTTTTGTTTTGTTTTGTATAGTACGTTATATAGGGCGAAATCTTAGTGCTCACATATTGTGTATTTTTGTTTGTACATAGGGAGAAGTGGGACCAGATGGTAGGCCTGGTGGTAGTGGAATAGGAGGACTGCGGGTAACTACAAATATGTTTATATTGTACCCTTAAGTGTCAGAATTGTAACATTAATGTTACATATTTTGTTGATACACAAAATGTGCAGTTCTTAAAACACAATGTGCAGTTACTAAGTTAACGAAACTATAAAATACTGTATACAAACATTAAAATATGCTTGTCGCTTTCTTTATGGCAGTTATTGAGCATCAAAAATATGAAAGAGAAGAGGGTAAAGATTGTAAGAATGTATAATAAAACTGGGGCGAGCGAAGCCTCCTCGGAAAAAGATTAGAGTGGGAGAACTTTTATTAAAATATTCTTCGCTGCCTGAAATGCAAATTTAAGGTTGATATTTAAAATGAACTGTTCATGATTCTGGTTGGGTAATTCCAATCTTCGCCAAAACGTAAGAGACTATACATACATAGAGTAAAAAGTCCTTTCAGGTAAACGTTGATCCCACGTCAAACACCTGATGCTTCGTAACATCCCTGCACATGTAAAGTTCTAAATTTTTCTTTAAAAAACCTGGTTAGCGTGTAATAACTTCAATAACATAATTATACAGGGTGTCCCCCAAAAAACGAAAACTATTGAAACTAGAGGGCACTCAGATACTGCATACCTCCGCCCGTTACTCGGAAGTGAAACGCAACCTTGGAATTTCCTAAGAAATCCACTTTATAATTCTTAAGCATAAAAGATTTTAGGCCCTCGCGAATTGAAATCGAATTGCTAATAGATCATATTACTGTTGTTGTACTGTACAGTACTTGTAAAATAAAAACTTATTAAGTGTCATTAAATAAATGCATAAATTTTGCTTTATGCACTCGCGCGTGCAGTAATTTTCACAGTTGTGCTATTTTAAATTCCCAGGCAGCTAAAATCTTTTGTCTTTAAAACAATGTCGATTTCTTGGGAAATTCTGAGGTTGCGTTTTTTTTATACACCCTGTATTGAAGTAATCTAACGTTGTTAAATGTTGTTAGAATTTGAATGGACTGGCACTTTGCTGAACGTAATAATGCGTAACTCCGTAAGCCTTGTTTTAGACATTGAATTTCGGTCGCGTGAAATGCAACTACACTCTAAAAACACTCTGGTTAAATTCAACCAGGAATTGGGTTAATAATCCACCCAACACATTCTGGTTAAATTTAACCCATTTCCTGGTTAAAAATTATCAATTCAACAAAAATTTGGTACACTTTTTTGGACTTTTAACCAGGAAAATGGTGGGGTTTTTTTAACCAGACTTGTGTAGGTGGATTTTTAACCCCGTACTGGTTGAATTAACCCAAATTTAACCAGAGTGTTTTTAGAGTGTAAGACAATAGATAATGAAGGCCGAAGCTTAATGAGGTTTATCATCTCATTATTGTCTTAGTACTGCGTGCATAAATTATACACGTCCTAATTGCGCATTCAGTAATATTTTTTTGTTAATTGACCGGGAAAAGCAAGACAAAATTTTGATCATTTCTCGTTCAATTTTTAACCAAATTCAACCAAATTTTAATCAGTTCTTCCTTAGCCGATGGGAAATGCGTTCAAAAAATTTCGTATGAATATGTTTGGTATTTCTTGAGTCATCGTGCTCACAGACAAACACACACACATACACACACATACACACACACACATACAAACCCAGATGATTACATAACCTCCTGGCGGAGGTAATAACGTATTGTTAGAATTTGAATGCCTCAGCACTCTGCTGAACCCACACGAGCATCAAAGCTTGGCATATTAAGTAAATTTTATGCATAAAGAAACCGTTTAAGAAGCTGCTTTAAATTCCCAAGAGCAGAAAATCATGCGCTTTACAAATATATTTTAATTTCTTAACAAGTGAATATTTAATATATGTACCCTTGTCAATATTTTACGCAACTTCGCGTTCAGCTTAGTGCTTGGGCATTCAAATTTTAACAATACGTCATTTCAATCGTTTTGCGGGGTTTTGGGACACCCTGTAGTATAGCTATATGGTTTCTGGATGACTCCTTGACAAAACTATCTACAGTAGCTTAAAGAAACTTATTTAGATGTATAATTAAGCTATATTTAACAAATATAAAACATTTTCCGTGTTGATATACAGTTATATCAACACGAGTGGAATTGGGAAAACGAGAAATTGTATGGAAACACGACGCCCGAAGGGCGGAGTGTTTTCATACAATTTCGAGTTTTCCCAACTTCCACGAGTGTTGATATAACTATATATCAATACTGAAAAAATGTTTTATATTTTTTTTTATAATATAACAATGTCAAAAGCCCGAAGGATAAGCAAAATTTCCGTGTTTACAAGCGGCGGAAAATTTCCCGTGTTGACATTGAGTTATATCAACACGGCTCTTAGCCAATCGGCGTTCAGAATTTACAAATGCTATATTATAAATAGATATATAATGCAGTTAACGAAACTGTGTAAAGGGGTAGGTATTTTTCGAGTTAAGCCCTTCGAGTTAAGTCCTTTTCGAGTTAAGCCCCTGCCACGCCCTTTTACGCTGGGGGCTTAACTCGAATTAAGCATTCGAGTTAAGCGCCGACATTTGGTGGATGTAAACAGGTGACGCGTGTATACTCGCAAAAATATTGGCAAATAAGGAGGGAGAATGTAAAATTTCACCAATTTTAAGAAATATATTTTACTAAGATCTCTGTTGCTTTGCCTACAGTTTTATATAGACATTCACAATGACATCGTGAAATGGGGGAACTCAATAAGGATTTGTAAACACACATTACGGCTTTAAAGCTACCTTTAGAGCTACCTTTCTAACCGATTTACTCTGCAACGACAAGATCTAGGACTAGAATATTATGTAAACTCGTTTTATAGTTTTCCGGTGGCTATTTTATACATGCCATGTACACAACCGAGTAACTCATCTTGCCAAGAACCCGTCAGAGCTAGATTAGGCGAGACTTTTTTTATTTATTGGTTTACGGATTTCACTTTAAAAATAAGAGGTCGGTAGGTCGGAAAAAAATTTAAAGAAAACCGAACTGAGTATAAATGAGAACCGAAATTAATAATCTTTATAAATTTTTTTAACGTCAGTTTAAAAACCCCCGCAAAAAACGTGGCTAATCTACATATTGATTGCATAGATATTTTATAATTGATTGTCACAACGATAACATGAGCCAGCAGTACCTAGAGTCAAAGTTCACTTGAAGTGTACTTCATGTCAGAACCCCAAATTAATTAAAATTAACTAAAATTGTAAAATTTTTGACATCCAATTTTTTTTTTATTTTTCTCTTTCTGAATATTTACGGTCGGTGGATCCGTAAACCAATGAATAAAAAAGTCTCGCCTTACGTATGATGTCACGCTCTAGTTTTCAAGTCCCCTACCTCGGAGAAGAGATACATCTTAGAAAGGTAGCTCGCCTCCATATGAACATGTCAACGATTTGCGTTCTGCAAGTGCCGCTATATATTATTTGTTTTAAAAAGCCGTAATGTGTGTTTACAAATCCTTATTGAGTTCCCCCATTTCACGATGTCATTGTGAATGTCTGTATAAAACTGTAGGCAAAGCAACAGAGATCTTAGTAAAATATATTGATTAAAATTGCTGAAATTTTACATTCTCCCTCCTTATTTGCCAATATTTTTGCGAGTATTAGAGTATACACGCGTCACTTGTTTATATCCACCAAATGTCGGGCTTAACTCGAATGCTTAAGTCGCTAATTGACTTCGAGTTAAGCCCCCGGCGAAAAAGAGCGTGGCAGGGGCGTAACTCGAAAAGGGCTTAAGTTGGCTCCCTACAATTTTTTAAATATGACAAAATCGTGATTTAAATTTAATTTTTTGAAGATAGGTTTCTCGTTAGAAGACAAAAAGTGTACCACATATATTGAGCAATCTTCTAAGAGTTAAAAGTGTTTATAAAAATGACGTCATTACCGTTGCTATGGTAACAATGACGTTTCAATATGGCCGACATTTTACCTTTTAACACATTTTACTCGAAAAAAGGCCGGTTACTCCCATTTTTTATTTCATGAAACGTTTTCATGTAGAAAAATGAATGATGTGAAAAATTTTAAAAAAATTCTGTAGATCAAAAAAATATTTATCATCTACATGAAAACGTTTCATGAAATAAAAAATGGGAGTAACCGGCCTTTTTTTCGAGTAAGATGTGTTAAAAGGTAAAATGTCGGCCATATTGAAACGTCATTGTTACCATAGCAACGGTAATGACATCATTTTTGTGATCAATTTTCAACTCTTAGAAGATTGCTCAATATATGTGGTGCAATTTTTTTCGTCTTCTAACAAGAAACCTCTCTTCAAAAAATTAAATCTAAATCACGATTTTGTCATATTTCAAAAATTGTAAGGAGCCACCTTAACTCGAAGGGCTTAACTCGAAAAATACCTACCCCTATGTAAATGGTACGTATTGATGGCGAATTAAATAATTGTTTAAAATAAATGATTATGTATAACATTAACAAATGTCGGTGAGGCGCAACCCGTGTAAGCGGATTGCATGGTCTTAAACGGAGCAGCATGTCAGTTTATCATTGACACAATTCATTCAAATTCAACATACTTGACATTTAAATATATCAATAGAAAAATTCTTTCCTTATATACTGAGCTTACAGTTTCAAAGTGATAAGATTTTTTTCATGTTTAAAGGGCCGTCGAGGTCAAAAAGGTGTGGATGGACGAGAAGGTAACCGTGGTCTTTTTGGTGAATCTGGCCTACCTGGACCTCCTGGAGGATTGGTATAGTATCTTATTTATATCTTATTATTTATGAGTATATTGTTTTTAACGTTTTTTTGTTTTCAAAAAGTGGGTATGTTGTGCTGTGGTTAGTAGTGAATGAATATTTCGCTTCTACGACTCGGGCGTATTAGAATTTCGCTTCAGTTACCTGTGATAGTGTTTCAGGGTTACTGAACCGAACACAGTTGGTTTTCTCCTGGTACTCTGTTTTCCTCCTATAACACAAAAATAATACGGAATGGCCTTTATTGAAACTCTAGACAGTTAATTTAGAATTGAGAAAGCTATTCAACATAAAAAAATTTAGCTCTTCAATCGTTAAACTTTATTTAGTCTTTACTGGTTACATACTCGCCTTTGTTATAGATGCTCTCCTTCGCAGCTGGTTATCTAGATCAAGGAAGAAGTCCAGCAGAAGCACCGAAAGGACCAACAGAACGAATCCTTATTCCACTGGGTGTAAGCGAAATTTAAAATTCAAACACGTATTTCGTAGTCTGCACTTATTTGACCAATATTTTATTGGTTAAAACAACCAAAAAAGGGTTATTTTATAACCAATTTCTCGGTTGTTTTGACTAAATAATAATGGTCAAATGAAAATGCATCTGAGACAACCAATTCAAATTGGTTATTTTAACTAATCCGTTTTTACAGTGCATCTTTACTGTATATGGATATAATACGTGTTATAATACTTATATGTGCTTTTAATTGGTAGTACGACTACTACTCTGTCAATGATAATGTAGGAGTTGTTAACCATAAAAGCAACATTGATTCTTGATTAGCTGTAGTTTCAGTACATATTCAAAGGAATAATTTTCTGTGAGTATACAGCTGATTAATTGTCTGTTTCTCAAACAGGATAGGCAACATGGTCCTCGTGGATCAAGAGGAAAGACTGGCCCACAAGTAAGTTCTCAGAAACGAATTATAGGGGAATAAACTGACCCTAATGTACAAACATTTTACGTTGAGTTTCAAATTGACTTTCTCATTATATAACAACACTCTTAATTAATATTTTAATTGTGTTATTTCTTATTTAGGGACCAAATGGTGCACGTGGTGCTAAGGGATCTGCAGGCGCTAGAGCGGCAAGGGTAAGTTCTACCGGGTGTCCCAAAAAAAAGTACTCCGGTTTGATTCGTAATAACTTCTAAACAAGTAAAGCTTTTAAAGTTAAATAACTTGCATCAAATAGAGGAAGGACTAACTTAGATTTTGATATATTACAGTTGTATTTCACTTAAAAATTCACGGAGATATTAATGTTTAAAATCGGGAGCATATTTCTGGATGTGTCTGAAATATGCAAAAAACGGCGTATCAAATATTAATCAAGATTTGCACGACTGAAACATGCACTATTACCAGTAAATAAATGACACTTGACAAATTGTTTATTATGAAACAGAGTATTATTATCTACAAAATACAAGCAAGATTTATTCGTCCGAAATCCGTGTGTGTTCCTAGCACGAATACGTTTCCTTATTTCAAGAGACCACTGCATCGCGAAGGATTGTCATGGATCGTTCGTATAGTTCTGAATTAGGGCATGCTGTCACAATCGAATTGTGAAGCTCTTCTAACTTTTGCAACGTTCTGAAATCTTGTTAAGAACACTTAAACTCTTTTGCCTTTTCTTAATCTTTTTAAGTTCAGAATAAACTGAGAATGAAACACAATCAAACCATACAACTCGATAAGACATAACAAGCATGCAACTCCCCAGAGACATCCAACATTTTTGGAACAAAATGTAACAAAATAGTAGCGTTGATACTGTGATGTGTATTTGCAAAAACCAATATTATTTCCTTCATTGCAGAATAATATTCATCCTGCTCTAACCGAGAAATAATTAACTCTGTTTTGAATCCATGAAAAACATAAAAAATTAGGCTATTTAAGAAATTTTAAACCTTATAAGTATTTTGTACCTTATAAGTTTGTAAAGACCTATTAAGTACTTGCATAATTTCGTACGTTCATATTTCAGGAAACAATGAGCTAAGACTTATATGTAAGATGTCTAAATCTATGCCATATCCCTTACAAACCCTAACGACAATTCGCTGAAATACAAGTTAGCTTGATATGTCATCAAGCAAACAAACGCTGAAGTTAATATTTGATATGCCGATTTTCGCTAATTTTAGACACATTCAAAAATATGCTCCCGATTTTGAACATTAATATCTCCGTGAATTGTTAAGTGAAATACAACTGTAATATATCAAAATCTAAGTTAGTCCTTCCTCTATTTAATGCAAGTTATTTCTGTTTGATAGCTTTACTTGTTTAGAAGTTATTACAAGTCAAACCGGAGTACTTTTTTTTGGGACACCCGGTACATTGAGGTACACGTGGATACAAACCATTAAAATCCAAATAACCATAATGGAAGATACAAATCAATTTATGGTATATATATTCTCTAATTGATTGTCTAAAGAAAAATTACTAATCACAAAGCTTTCGGAAGTTGAAGCAGAATATTTTACTTAAATATTCAATTTCCTTACCTACATGATTTAGCTACCTATATTATTCAGGGGCTGGGGTGGTGGCCGGCAAATATTCATTTCTATTTTGCTTCACGTATTCATATTCCTACTACGAATATTCATATTCTTACCTGAAATATTCATATTTTTGCAACAAATATTCATATTCAAACTAGTTTAGAACTCAGTATTTAATATTCCGTTTCCACCCTCGAAAATTTGTTTGCATTGCTTTGTGCCACCCCAAAGATTAATAAAAATACCAAAACAACTTATCAAAATGATACGAATAAAGGTAGAGTACGCAGTTTGTACCAAAATTGGAAATCCAGCTAAGGTCAATATATATTATTCCTGATGGTTTATTTCCAATCACTCACCGTGTCAGACAATCTAAAATTCTGTTATATATAATAGCTTTCAAAAACACCAGTATTAATAGTCTTGATTATTACAGAGACTGTAATGTTCAAGCACAGTTATCCCAGACAGGCCAGACTACACTTTTGGAGGAACGATCTACCAAAGTTTAGGCACTTTTCCTATACAATATAAGCTTTAAATAACTTTAAAACATGTTTTGATCATCTAGGGTCCTCATGGTCTAATGGGTAAACCTGGAGCTCCTGGTCCTGATGGAAAGGAGGTAAATTTGGAATTATTCTTACAATTCTAACACCGGCGATCGAAGCATCCAGAAACTGGTATGGCATATTGATTAATTGATTTTTATTCATGAGACCCATTCAGAAGAAAACGCGTTTTTGGGCTCTCATAATCAAATTTATATGATTGAATTAGTGATCATGTTAAAAATACATAGTTTAACTTGCAATTCTTGCATTTCACTAAAATACTGCATGTCATTTATTTCTATTTAGGGCAATTCTGGTTCAGATGGTAATCCTGGACGTCGTGGTGGTCGTGGATCTGCGGTAATGTATTTAATGTTTATTTAGGTTCGATACCACGTTATGCATTCATTTATCCACCTTCTAGAGATCGACTTTATTTAACTAATTTGGTTTTCATATTCTAATGCTACAATGTTCATACTGCATAGATATTTATTCGAATAAAATTACATTTTATTTTACTTTCGCTGCGAGGACTCCTTTTCCTCTTCTTGCAGATTTTCCTTTTCAAGTTATTAAATTTTTTAGGGCGAAACTGGAGATAGGGGCGAGCAAGGCCGACGTGGTATGATAGGACACACGGTATGTTGCATATAATTTGTTACACATAACTGCTTTATACCAAGTGGATGACGGGGAGAAACATCCCTCTTACTTTTTGGAATGGATTTTCGCTCTTTATTTGTTCATTTTACCTTCTCCACAGTAAATAAAAATCAAGAATAAATTTCATAAAAAGATACTATGAACAGTACTTATAAATATAAATAGCACGTCTTCAAACAATGTTGTTTTCCCGTGATGATAATTATAGTTGCATAAAACAATTCTTTTCAAATATTTAAGCAGTCTAAAGTCATTGTTTTAATAGATTTAATTTGACCTAGTTTATGTCTATAATTAGATTAGAACAATACTGGTCTGTAACAAGACTAAAGATCGTTGGCAGTAAATCTCTTTAATCTTCTGATCTAAACAAATCGTGACTTACTGATATAAACAAATGTAAGTAATTTTCATATTTTTACGTTCTGATTCCAGGGATATACCGGCAACGTTGGAAGAAGAGGTGTCACAGGAGAAAAAGGTGACAAGGTCAGAATTAACAGGCAATATATAGGCCTACTTCATATACTATTTCAAGAAATTATACAATTCATGTTCATGTTAAGAAGCAATCTTTACAGCGCTTCTGGACAGCATAAACGTATATTCAGAAAGCGTTTTGAGCAGCAGCACAATAACGATATAAAAAATGAGGTAGGGACATACGTTGCTTTTGATTGACATCACAAAAAAAATTAGATGAAAACAAGAAAAGGCCAGATGATAGCAAAACATCCTTTTTGACCAAGGGAAATAGATATACTCACAAAATGAACCTTGCAAATACAACGTTTCCATGAACCTAGAAATAAAGTACGACAAATTGGACCTATTGCAGGTTAATGGGTTAAACATTGTTCTCAAAGTTCATTGACAACCACAAATACAATTTTCTTACAGGGTGTGGCAGGACTCGTTGGAAAACGTGGTGTAAGAGGAACTAAAGTAAGGGTTTTATTTTGGGTTTTGTTTTGTAATTTCAACTAAGTTAATCTAACTGAATAAATACACTGATACGCGAGGTATAGGAGGACAGTTGACTATTTTGCCTTTTCATACATTTTTATACCATATGGAACGCAAGCTAATCGGTGAGTAGGAAACTATTTAATGTTTTAGAATACTATGTATGGATGCTGAATGCGCTACCCTTGTTTAGAATGATTAGGGCTGATTTTAAAATGTAATACCTACTGTAGCTATATAAACTGATTAAAATCTTTGGTATGATTTATATTTCAAATTTCTATAGGGGAGCCTTGGTAGACAAGGAACTGCTGGTTTAACTGGGGAAAGAGGTCCAACTGGATCAACGGGAGGACGAGGGGATCAAGGTCAAACTGGGCCAGAGGTTTGAATTCAAAAAACTTGCTTAAAGATGTTGACGTGTTGTGACTACAAAATTAATATCGTACAGTATAACTTGGCGTTTTCCACAATTGCAAAAACAAAACGATAAATTGATCTAGTTGTGCATAGGGAAAAATGAAATAGCTCATGCATTCAAAATTACTTTGGCAAAGCGTGGCACAATACAGTGGTTTACATGCGTAACATATATCACTCATAATTCTTGTAAAGTTGTAAATTTGAGAAACTATAGATGTTTTATAAATAATGTCGAATTTATGCAAATAGAAAAATTGAATCCAAGTGGTATGGCTTCAATATTCAATCTATAACAGAAAAAAACACGTTGAAATCTGTTCTAGGGTTTAGTTGGTAAAAGTGGAACCGATGGACACCCTGGATCTTTTGGAGTAAAAGGTTTCGCGGGTCCGTCAGGTAATGTTGGTGAACTAGGAATATCTGGAGAGACTGGCGACGAGGGTGAGAGAGGTCCCCAAGGAGAAGCTGGACAAGATGGTCGTACTGGAGAACCGGGGCCTCCTGGCAAAAAAGGAGAACAGGTAGCAACATTCAAGGATGCATTTACTGGGGGTGCATTGGGGGAGGGTGCACACTCCCTTGCTGGCAAAGAAGGGTGCAAGGGGTGCTATTTTCCTTCTCAAATCCATTTTTGATTTGGAAAGGCAATATTCTAGCACCCTTAATTAACACCAGCTAGCCCCCTGGGCCCACCCTCCATTATTATGCACTTGGATAACGGTTGCTCCATGACAAAGCTTGATGAGCACCCCTCCCCACTCAGATTTGGCTTGATCCATCCCTGACAACATTAATACTAAATGCCATGTTACACATTGCAAGACAAGTTTTGTGAACCATTGCGCAGTATAACATTACTTCAAATTACCTAAATTATTGGAGACATGTTGCGTTGAGCATTGAACAAAGTAGAAGTGTTATGTCTCGTCATTGCAAGATACATTTCATGAAAACCGTGTATGATATAGCGTTTCGAGAAATATAATTTAATTTATTTCTGTGTAACAAGGATATTTTTCTGTTACTGTACTATGAGAATCGATTACTTAAGTAACTTGCGTTTTTTTCAGGGTGATTCTGGTAATAGTGGTACAATTGGAGGCATTTCAGCGCCAGGTGATGATGTAAGTTAAAATAATATTAGTCGTGCACAATTGAATTTCTCGAAAAACAGCCAAAGTCATAGTCGTCACCGAAAAGTAGAAAACTGATATGTTGCATTTAGGATTCGAAACATTGGAGAGACGATTATTATGTTTCAGCCTATAACTATATTAACTATGCTATAAATAATGAAGTCACTATAAGCCTCAAATGGTCAAAAGGAACTGGACGGGTGTAATAACCTGATAATTAATACTTTTCTGTAGGGAACACCTGGTATACCTGGTAACCCAGGACCTGCTGGACCAAAGGTGAGTATATGCATAATGCGACTCGAGGCATGAGTAAATTAGGTAAACTGTTGCTGAAACGATATTAAAATTTGGAGGTTTCCACAAATGTTTTCCCGTTTGCCAATCTTTTGAAAAATTGATGCGGTGAGAAACTGTTTTCCAACAAATACTGGAAAATAGATAGTTTTCCATACAAGTATGATTTTTGCTGCAGAAACAGTGTTTCCATCGATCGTGATAAACGTTTTATTTTTTTAGCAATATAATATTGCCAAATAAACACGCGCTGTTGTAAAATAAATAAAATGTTGTAAAATATTGTTGTAAAATATTACAAAATAAATATTGAAATAATTTCAACATTTATTTTTGTGTACCTAGGGTGAACCCGGTGAATATGGTCCGAAAGGAGAACGTGGAGATACCGGACCTACCGTAAATACTTTATTATCTATGAACAACAGTATAGTCAGTTCCGTAAAATTACAGCGTTTTGATGTCATTATACGTACGCGTTTTTAAACCATATGCTTTAAGATAACTTTGAAAAGGTTGAAGATAACTAAAAAGACAATTAAAGAGTCACTTTTTCTAGGGTGATCCTGGTATAAACGGATTTCCAGGTGAACAGGGAAACGAAGGCTCACGAGTAAGTTCATTGAATAACTTCCGATAGTAATAAAAGGATGTAGTTATACCTAATTACCATACTGGTCAACTGCAGTATATGATAAATACACATTTTTTATTATGAGTTCAGCTTTCGTTTTATCACCTCAGAACACGATGTTGTAAGTACAGTCAAAGCGAAACTTACAACAAATTTCTTTTTATCAAACAGTATCTATATTTGGTTTTATTTTATCATAACGTTTGTATAATTACGTTCATGACTCATTCAATTGACATTGTTGAACCACTGAAGTTAGAAAAATCAATTAATTTCCCCATGTAGGGAAAACAAGGAGCACCTGGAGTCCAAGGTTCAGTTGGAAAAGATGGTGTGAAGGTAAATTTATGGTCATATAACGGAGACATACAGTAGCATGAAAGCTTATAGAAATAAAGTTGGAGGCAGCTGAACTACAATTCCATTTATTTCCTCATCTGATAATAATAAACCTTTAGCTTGAAATTGCAAGATCATCTTGTTTTAAAGTACAGTATAGGTTTATAAAATATGAATTATCCCATTGCATATAGGAAATTATGTTTTTTTTTTTAAAATTCATTATATAGTATAGTAATATATTAATATTTAATTTATATTACCGGGTGAGGAAAAAACAGTACGACTGTTTGATTTACTATGACTTAAAAAGTAAAAGAGCTATTCCACTTAAATAAGTCGCAGTATTATCAACGATGTTTAACTTAAATTTTGATATATGTCTTGTAGCTTTTCATGCAATATTGACTGAGATAACTGTGTTTAAACTTAAGCAAACCATTTTTGGAACCGCCGAGAATTAGCTAAAAAGGCCCTATTAAAACCAATTAAATAACCATTACCATTTTCTCGCGATTATTGTTTCAATTAGTGGGTTGGTTTGACGAGGTCAGTTGTTCTTGGCACACACTTTGTTGAAAGAAATTTAGACACGAGAGAGTATCTCCGAATCATACGTTACAACGTTGTACAGAGAGACTTTCGTGTTCACAACATCGATAGGAATGACATGTGCATGGTGGCAGCAAGATGAAGCTCTTTCTCATATCAGCAATGCAATACCTTCGAAAACAATTCCCTGGTTGAGTTATGAGTAAAGGTGACGACTGGCCTTTTCCATCGCTCCCCTGATCTAACAGTAGGCTATGCGATTTTTTTCTTTGGGACTATTTGAAACATGAAATCTGGAATGTGCCACATGATCAGCAACCACACAATTTTCGTATACATTAATATTTAATAAGCCATTTTCAGCTAATTTCGTCAGTCCCAAAAATGTTTACTCCTGTTTAAATGCATGTATCTTTGTCAATATGGCATCGAAATGTGGCATATATCAAAATTTAAACTGGGTATCGCTGAATGCCGCCACTAAACTTGTTTTAGTGTCATTGCTCTTTTAGTTCTGCTTTTGCAGCAATTCAAACATGTCGTACTTTTTTTTTGTCCCACCCGGTATATTATTGTTATATTTATTTATTTATATGATTATGTTATATCAAAAATTGGGAAAAATTGATGACTAATACGATGATGTTAGATAATAACTGTCATTTTACTATATTTATACATATTGTAATAAAACCATGGAATTATTATTTATTCTTTAAGTCAAGGTCAAAATACCAAATTCCAGCACACTCCTTGTAGTTTCGTGTTTATAACAGTGCAGAAACAAGTACAATTGGAAACGCACTGAAACTGATGTCCCGCACTTTTTGGACTCGACTTCTCACTCCATATATATGAAGCTCACTGACCATACCATACTATATTTCCGTACTTTTTATGGTATTTAGAACTCTCTGACATTTCGTGAACCAAACCACACTGACAGTAATACAATATACATAATATATATGGTATTTTCTGCATAATAATCATTATCTACATCAGTATATTGTTTTTAGGGTCCCGCTGGTGAGCGAGGAAACTTTGGGCCAGATGGAGTTTCTGGGCCAGTGGTAAGATAACCAACAACACTATACTAAAATTCAGAAGAGTGTATAAATGTACAATCTCATGGTTTCCATACTCCTAGGGTGTCGAGGGAGACAGGGGAAGCCCTGGAGAAGAAGGAGAATCTGGAGAAGCTGTAAGTTATAGTGAAATCATGCACTATTAATATATATTATACCTCAAATTCAAAGTGCCCAATCAGAAAACTATGTTTGTGCCACGTAAGCATGAAATTTATCATTGAATCACGCCTTCCAATCTCTTCCGTTTTTCCACATCACCGGGTTATTTATTTAATTATTTATTTAATGATTTCCCGTTTCCCAGGGAGAAGACGGTTATGCAGGAGCGAACGGAAAACGTGGACAAGAAGTACGTATACACATTAGATAGAGGACACGTCTCTCTAAATACTATCGAAGTGTACACAAATGTAACAACTAGACAAAACAATTCGACGTCATGTGCGTCTTCTTTTCTTTCGGCAGGGCCCTAATGGTCGACAAGGAGCAACAGGTCCTGATGGAAACCCAGGAGAAAGTGTAAGTAGACGAGAAAGATGTTATATATCTGGTCTTTTGCAGAAATTTAATTTTAGCATTTGATCGTTTTCCTTTATAAAAGGCAACGGAACTACGGTTAATGTTGATAGTGGCATAGCAGTTTGCATGGCATGCAAACTGCTATATGCCACTATCAACATTAACCGTAGTTCCTGATGGTGACTGTCGCGGAGAAAATTTATTACAATCTTTTATGAGTTTTATCCCAATAATATGAATTGATAACATTGTTACATGCATATATACTGTTTGCAACATTATTACTATTGTTACTATTAATACTAAATACTCATTAGCTGCTCCATGCATTTATACTGTTACAAAATTCAGTATAGACAATCATCACAATAGAATTTAGGAGTAGCTAGTTTTTGTACATATAAAATGATATTGAATCTAACTTTTTTTTAAATAAGGGTAAAACTGGTGACCAAGGCTTCGAAGGCGACAGTGGCGAACCGGTTAGTTTTTGGACATTTACACAAAGTCTAATAAATGATTTTCAATAAAGTAATGATGATAATTGCAAGTTATTGACAGTTGTCGAAATGATATAACCATGATGTTTTATTGGCATATATAGGGCGAACAAGGTCTTGCTGGTATTCGAGGAGAGTTTGGCGCCAAAGGAAACCAGGTAATAGAACATTTTGATTTGAAAAACTGCATGTATAGTACTTGAAAATGTAACATATACCGTAAATCTACTAACTAGCACCCCTCCCTAATATCGCCAATATTTTAAATGGAAAAGTTTATTAAGCCTACAGCTCCTCTCTCTCTCTCTGACATGTGTATATAATTGTGCTTAATACGCACCAACCTCGCATGCCAGGCTTTCTACTTCCGCTTCCCTCCCAAACACGCTCTGCATGCTGGAGCGTGGGGAGGGAAGCGGAAGTAGAGAGCCTGGCTGCTCGTCTTTCTTTTTAAGCCCCCTCTTTATCAAGCACACCCTCTCTCTTATTAAGCGCATTAGTAAAAAGGCTCTAAAAACTAAATAAATATAATATATATTGAATGATGAAATACTGTGTATAGGGTAAGGATGGAGACGATGGAATAGCTGGAGAGCAAGGACCACCAGGGCCTGCGGTAAGTTATTAGTATAGATAGATAATAATAATTAATACATTATCGAGTGCAAAAGTACGAGTGCGGAGGTCTCATTCAAATCCTATCAACATTGCATGAGTCCGCGGACTCATTTGAAGACTTTCGAAAAAAGTTTAATAAGATGAAGCGAATTCGTTCATCAAGAATATTTATATGTGTTTAGAAATCGTCATAAAAATTCGTCCGTCGTTAATTAAAGCTCGAAGTTTATAGTATTTATTTTTGTTTTCCATAACTGTAGTTCTCATAAGATAACAGGATTTTTAGTATACATGAGGATGCAATAAACTTAAGTTTGTTCTGTTTAACTTAGCTTGCCGCTTTACAACTGTTTTAATACTCGTTGCTTTATATATACACATCATACCAATATCGTAGTACAATCCTTCTGAAATTTGTACTGTAAATACGGGCATTCGAACCAGTAATATGTATCCATACAAACTATTGCATTTACTTTGTCACATATACATAATATTTTATGTAGGGTAACCCTGGACCAGATGGAGAGAATGGAGGACAGGGATACATCGGCCCAGAGGTATAACTATATAGGCTATATAGTATATTGCCTAAAGTCAGGGACGCCGGAACGATGTGAAAGCAAGGGGGGCAGATTTTCGTGAAAGGGCACTTTTGAATTGATATATACTAAGAGATGTTTGCAAAACATCGGGAGTTGAACTTCACCTAATCATGTTTTCTATTTATTGGATGATAGGGGTGTGAGGGGGTTCTCTGTCAGGCGATTGTGCTATTCTTGAAGCTCGATGACTGCATTTCTTGCGTTTTCTGAAGCAAATTCGTAAAAGAATTACACTAACATTTCTGACAATTCGCCATTTCGCCAAGGCAATCCTTTGCCCCCCTTGCCCCTCCTGGTAAAGGGCAACGGGAGCGGCTGCCCCTCCTGCCCCCCCCCCCAGTTCCGGCGTCCCTGCCTAAAGTATATTGTATCACTTATAATCATTCTATGGCATGGAGCAATGCTTATAATTTATAACAATCCATAAATGCGCTAATTGTCTCGACAACTAATAGAGTTTACTGATCATTCAATTTTGCCCAAATGGCCTTGTTTACATTTTTGCCTGTTTTAGCATGAAAGTTATTTCCTGACGTTTCATGCACGAATATATTTCTCTTTGATCTTGATCCTAATCACAAGCCTATTTTTAACCATAATGTGTACGAAACGAGGAAATAACCGCATGAAAACGAGGCAGTTGGAACTATTAAAAGTGCAATAAACAGTCTATTCATTGTTTCAGACTTCATATACAGTTGGTTAGCGTATTGCATGTAATTCTGCAAGCGCTAAATAATACTTTTATATTAATCTTCCTTAATTTTAATGTCAACATTTTTAATGCATATACACTTATTTGCTCTCTAAATATGTAATTCATGTTCCGGTTTGCTGTTTCGTATAGGGTGAACAAGGTGAACGAGGGGTAGAAGGTGACGCTGGAAATCCTGGGCAAGACGTAAGTTAACCATTTTGCCAAAAAATTACTATATATGATAGTGTTTTCTGTATTGATTCAATACCATTCTGTACTTTGTTGCATGAAATGTTTATCATAGTGTCCACGATTGTACTTTAATTACCGTGTCACAGTATGTTATTTACAGTACGTTGTTACTTTCGAATTCTCATTTACAAGGGCCAAGATGGTGAGCGGGGAAACCCAGGAAAAGATGGCGAGGTCGGAGATAAGGTAAGATAGAGAGTTCTTTTCTCTTTAAAATTATGAAGTCAGCTAAACAAACCAGGTGCAAGCTCGTTTGGTTTGTTGCCGGTTTCTCTACTGCCATCTTCTTAATACAAAAGTAAAAATTTAATCTATCCGACTTAATTTCTGCCAGAATGCATTTTTTAAAGCCAAATCATGCATTGAAACTAAATCTTAAACATTGGATTTTCAATCGATTGTTTACTTTTGCAGTCTATTATTGAAAAGCATTCTTGACTATTGATGAGAGGAAAGGCTGAAAGAAAGGAACCTTCAGTCGTTTGAATCAAACGATGAAACAAAATACAGGAATGCCATACATTAGACACTAGTTTATATAGCTCTCAAGGAAAGTTTGCAAAATGCCAAAATCACATACATACATACACTTGCAAACAAATACTTTTTGCCTTTTGAGGCAGCTATATCTCTCTTGCTATTGTATAACTTTCAGCTCATTATCTTTCTGTATAGGGTATGGTTGGCGATATAGGTGAAGAAGGTCCTGTTGGCGAAACGGTATATAACACTTGAACGTGCACAGATGTTTGAATTGTCGTTTTTGACTTCGACTCGTTAATATGAAACGGAAACAGGATTTCTAATATATATGGTACATGAGAAAAGACCATAAATGAAATGTTTTTATATCTTGCAGGGTCCCAAAGGAGAAGGTGGTACATCTGGTCCTGATGGAGACCAGGTATTTTTGGCGTCACATATAATTATCTTTAAATAACATAATGGAGTAAAGAGTCGAGAATGTACAGTTGGAATGGTTCTAAAAGTATTAATTAAGCATGACAACGCGCATTATTATATATTATATTCTATAATTAGGAGTGGATTGTTACCATTATTTTCTTAATGTACCACTGAAAACTACTGTATGAAAACCACCTTTTTTCTTAATTATATATAGCAAGTGTATAGTATTTATGTTTGTATTGAATATTGTATGTTTTGAAAAACTCTCAAGAAACTTTAATCATATTATAGGGTCAAAAAGGAATGAAAGGAAGCTCTGGTGATTCAGGAGTAGATGGTGTAGCAGTAAGTCTGACTCATTGTTTCAATTATATACAATGTAATATCGTTGGAGGTAAATTGACTTGTGACGACGGTGATTATTAAAAAAATATCTGACGACATCCCTACACAAGTACGAAACCAAATGGCCAATAATCATCGTCGATGCATTGTGTATTGATATAAATTCAATTAAAATTTTCGATGAGTATAAAAGACCATGTTATCAATTTATCAAAGTATTAATATACATGCAATCTAAAACCAACAACTATTTATCTGTTTTAAAAGGGTATAGCTGGTCCTGCAGGCGCCGACGGTAATTCAGGAGATGCTGGGTCACAAGTAAGTTATTATTTTTGCAAAAATGACAATTTCACGAAAATGTATAGTCAGACTTAAACCAAAAAACCCTGAATACCAACTTCACTCCGTATTTTTGCAGGGAAGTCAAGGTGATCAGGGTAGACCTGGACGACCTGGAGCAAATGGAAGAACTGTGAGTAAAACCGAGCATGATTATATACTGGTGTTTTGCGTCTCACAACGTCAGAAATATGTCGAAACAAGTAGTGAGTGCATGTCATAGAAATAGCCCTATTCACATTAGAGACGGACAAGTCGTCTAGACGAACAAATCGTCTCTCAAAAATCGTCTTCACAGACGGACAAGTAGTCGAACAAATTCAGACGACTTGTTCGTCTAAAATTCTGTACGACACGTTTTCACATCTGATGATTTGTCGAGAGACGACTTGTCCGTCTTCTAATGTGAAAACGGCTAAAATTAGACCTAGAATGTGTGCTTGGTTACGTGACCGGTGTCCAAATTGAAAACAAAAATCTATTGAAAAATTTCTATGGTGCATGTCATTGAGAACAGCGGGATTTTAGAAACAATGAAAAGACAATGGAACATTCCATTCACTAGCTGAATCGTGGCTGGATTGCATGCACTGATGACTGTAATGTATGCTATGTTATGTTTATTATTTGCAAAATGCCCATTGTTCCAATGCTTATCACATCACGATTTTCTGTTCATTTGAGGCTATAAATATCATTGTGTATTTATTCTTTTGTGTGATTCTTGTGCGTTATTGGTTATTATTATTGTGTGTTACTATGAGTCAATGGATGAGAGTAAGAAAAGTCTATCAACACAGAAATAATTTGTATATGCTGCATTATATCGGCTCATGGTTGAACGGCTCCTTATAGTTTCTCCATAATTTGTAGACGTTTGAGCTTAATACGTAAAGTAATATCAGGGTTTACTTGTATTCTTCAGATGAGTGTGTCTTTGATCCATGTCTTGTCTAATTTTAGGGAGACCGTGGATCTAAAGGCGAAAGAGGAAAGCCTGGCAAAATTGGAAGAAATGTAGGGAAACTGTATACAGTATCATTTATTAAAAAAATGATTGTAAAATACATTTGATTGGAAAATGCCAAATCAAAATGCATTAATGCAATGGTCATTATTATATAAATGCTCATCCAAGGATTTTGAGTGGAAAATGTACCTAATGGACTCTATTCTGTGATTTGTTTGTTATTTTATTTTATTTGTTACTTGCTTAACTTCAATATTCATTGTGAAAATGTGAAATGATCAAAATATTAGGGATCCGTATATCCGGTAATATTTGCTCAGAGAACGTCTGACCCATAATAAGGAAAACTGTTTGGTATCAAATTTGCTACTCTTAAAAAATAGCATTCCATATTTAGTGGTTGTTTACCATTTATATAGGAATCGCCGGTAGTTTCAAATAAAAAGTAAATGAAATACATATAGCCTGTGTTGATTTCCAACCCCAAAATTGCCTGAAAATATGGTTTGCTTGAAAGGATTGATTTTTTCGGTTAGGACGTTTCATTCGCTCAACTTGTTCCATTTACACTGTTCACATGTTTTCTTACCATTTTCAGGCTGTTTGTGATATTTTATTGCGGCCAGCTGTATTTATCGCTACATTTCATATCTATATTCATAACTTGTATAATTGTGACATATATAGGGAGAACAAGGAGCGATTGGAGAAGCTGGTGGAGCAGGACAAACCGGAAGACGTGTAAGTACATGTGTGTTCAAAGCACTGAGCTTTACTGTATTACTGGAGGAGGTCCTCCAGTTATTTTACAAATTCAGTGGTTCAAAGTGACAATGATGTACATTAGTCATTTGAAAGAACGTTCAAAATAATGCAATATTTTCCTATTGCATCATCAAAGTCAAAACACAGTATTATACCTACTCAATGAGTTCAAATGACGGATTCAGGCTCGCCACTTCCTATATGCATGAACGAGCTCTGTGACTGGTTCATTATGACAATAGAAGACAATAAATTTATAGAAGTCGTCTTTCTAGAGAACAAGTTAGAAACTCTGCTCACTTTTGTTTCAGAAAGCCAATCACAACACATGATATCATTCTAGGTAGATATTTACTGCGAATTCACTGTTAGCCCATGACAAATAGATAATTCTTCTAATATAAATCAATAATACTGTCGTGTAATTATTATAATTATAGGGTATCCAAGGTGATCAAGGTTCTGCTGGAGAACGTGGAAGACCTGGACCTAGCGTAAGTATCTGTTACCTGAATGATGATATCAAATTAGTTTTGTTAGATTGAAATATGTTATTACATCTATTGCGCAAATCGTAAATTTGCATTGCATGACCTGTTGCTATGGCTACCTTCGCCATTGGAATCTATTATATTTATATATAGTATAGTATGTATATACATTACCGACTACCGTCCCCATATTTATATAATTCGGAAATATCTACAATAAGTCTCATTTGATAACTATAATTTTTCAAATAGTATAATATAACGGATTTCAAAATTTGTCAATTATAGGGTGCAAGTGGGCAGCCTGGTCCAACTGGACAACAAGGAGCCGTGGGTAGAGCAGTAAGTTTCCAATTTTTAAAGTTAAAAATAGATATTACATATACTATGCCAGTTTATGAAAGACAACTGACAGCTGATTGTATTGTCAAATTACAGGGTGTGCAGGGTAATATAGGTCAAATTGGAGTAACAGGAGACAAAGGACCTACGGTAAAACATTAAACATTTAGTTAATATTATGATTACCGGTGCTCTTATTATATCCTTATAAACTTTTATTGACATTGGTCTCTCTCCTTCGTTGAGCTTTCTGCTGACCATAAGCGAAACATTTGCGGAGGAGAGAGAAGGAATGTTATATATACAGTAGCTACTGATCAGTTTTGGATGGGCATAAAATTGATGAAACACTTCAAAAATTTAAGCTATTGAAAAAAAATACTCGCGGCCAAATACTCATGTGCGTTTAAAACAGTACAGTATACTAACACGAAGTATGACAGGGTCGGGAACCCAACGGCAAAGTGAGTGTAAGCATGCATTTGTTCCTGGTTGTTAACAATATTGTTCAGCATTGTTCAGGTGAACAATTCTGAACAATATTGTTAACAACCATGCAGGAACAATATGGGCAACAAAATATTGTTCAGGCCTGTTTTAATTTCATCAACATTGTTACAGGCTAGGCGTTTTTTCCTGTGTAGACATTCCGACTAGACCCTTTAGAACCGCAAGGATGTATTACGTCAGATTTTGACAAGACTAAGAACAAACACACAATATGTTAATGTGTCAAATCAATTTTATCTAATAATATTTAATGTATACAAATATTTAAATTGAAATTAATAATTTTGATTTAGGGTGAGGTTGGATCTCCTGGCGCGCAAGGAGACGCTGGCGAAAGAGGAGAAAAGGTGAGACTTCAACTGTTCAAGTACAGCCATAGACTATACACAACCGAGCATGCAGAGTGTTTAAAGGTTTTTCTACTTAAATTGCGATTTTTAGATTTTAAGCAGTTGACGTTTTTTAATAGGGTCGTGAAGGTTCCCGTGGAGAGAAAGGTTCTCGAGGTGCAGTAGGAAACCAGGTACAGTACAACTTTACTTGCTGCGCATTATGCCGTCTTGCATGTACAGCAGTGACTAATAAAGCTCCTCCACTCCTGTCTGTCTTGATTCAACTTTCTTGGTACACCTTGTCTGGGTCACACTCGCTAGCTCTTTCTTAACAATTCGACACCAGGTGCTCTCTTCTTTTCTTTTCTTTTCTGCCTACAGTCCAATGACCTGTTGCAGTCTATTTTCTCAGCACATGCCCACATTGGCCACAAAATTCTTGAAATTTGTGTGAGAAGATCTTGGGACATGAAGTTACGAGCAAAATTAGAAAAAACGTTTAAATTTTAGATTATATCCAAAAGAAAGACGTTTAAATTTTAGATTATATTCTCGGAAGCTAGTAGACAATTCTATCTAATACAACTTATCAGTTGCTGTTCAAATGTTTGGCAACATACAAATCAATAATTTATTCACGCTATTTTAGTTACCGATCAATGTTAGTTATACGTGGCATAAATTATAAATTCAGTCAGTTTCTTTTCATTAATGTTGCATTGGTCAGTTTCGAATTCACATCTAAATATCACCTTCGTTTATTACTATTGTTATTAACTCTTGGTTTATTACTATTTATAGGCGTTACCTTTATTTTAATCCTATAGCAACTCAACATTTGAAATAGCTTTAAGTACCATTTGTTTCTGTAGGGAGATGTTGGTCCCACAGGTGAAACAGGTCCAAATGGCATTAATGGCGAAAAGGTAAATTTGATCAATGCATATATATAGTATATTATAGTGAACTTCAAACACTCATTAATAATTCATAAGCTTATTGGCAAATCATGTCAACCATAATATGTTACGTGCAGTGGCTTTAAACCTGATAAAACACTCCTAAATAGTATTCTTTGTATAAAGAATACTAATAAGGCAGTATCTATTGTACTCGTGTCCTCATTAGTATTCTTTATATAAAGAATACTAATAAGGCAGTATATCTATTGAATTTGTAGTCGTGTTTGAAGTACTGTTTAAAACATTCGCAGTGCGTGTTTTATCAGATATAAAGATGGTCTGATAAAACACGCACTGCGAATGTTTTAAATTGCTTCAAAAACGATCGATCTAGTATAAGTTCATTGGCGACTGAATAGCTTTCAAAAAATTCGTTGTGTATGTAAAGAAAATCAAAGTTAAAGTTTATGTAAATCAAGGGAAATCTCTATCACATATAAAGATACACGTTTATGATTTTTCTTTGTGTTTTTTCCTCATGAATTATTAATGAGTTTTTGAAGCCGTTTAATATACTCGCAGGTCGTGTTTTATTAGGTCTAAACAATACAAAAACACTCCTGCTCGTTTATTAAACAGTACTAAAAGTATTATGCAGCTATGCTAAGGCAATTGCCTTTATTCATATTCTGACAAGATTTACATTAGTTGAATTAAATTTTTACACAAGAATTTTTTACAGACGCTTCGTCTTAGTTAGACATATGCATGCACAGTATAAGTAATACAACATTAAAATGAGTCTATATACTAATACATCTAATTGTTGGTTCTGTAGGGAGGACAAGGGCAGACGGGAAACACTGGATTAGTTGGTGTTGATGGTAACAAGGTATCGTTATTCTGGGATATATCATGCAGTGACATTTTGCCTTGAAGTTTGCAATATCATATGAACAACACTACTTAAAAATGTTATGCAAAATGTCTTTTTTTTAATTATAGGGAGCGAGGGGAGAAAAAGGTGTAGTTGGTGATATTGGTTCGGGAGGCATCCAAGTAATGTATATCTTTAAATTATCAACTTCTTGTTTCATTAATGCACCCACTGTTCTTCATTCAGACATTTACTATACTTGAAATGTTTTGTTTTACCAAGCAGTTTATTGTAATTATTTCAGGGTCCACCTGGATTACCTGGCATAGGAGGTTCAGCAGGAGATTTGGGAGCTGCTGTAAGCATGAATTTCTCATTCCTCACCAATGTTTTTAGCTTCTCATCTGAGCAGTTTTATAGATATGCTTTATTCTTTTTCTATAACCCCTCTTGGCAGAGATTAATAAAGAAACGTACATGTATACGTCAGATTTGATTGTGCACTGAAATTGGCTTTTGTGAAATGCGCTAAAGCTCATTTTCCACTTCGCGAATTTGTTCGCGCGAAGCGAAAAACAAATCTTGGCAATGTGATTGGTCAGCGAAAAAATTCATGCATATAGGTTGAAATAATTCGCCACGAAAAAGTTGGATCAGTTCCTAGATTTTTACTGTTATACGTTCGCGCGCGAACAAATTCGCCTATAGTGGAAAATGGGCTTAAAATCCAGTACAGCTTATAAGCTGAATCGCGAAATTCAATGTCAATAAGCAACTTACAATTAACTATTTACCACTTCACAAGTGAAATCGGAGACAATAAAAACCTCTTATTGCTTTCTAATTATGCTCTGTTTGATAATTTACGCGTTTGTTTTGAAACATTGGTTGCTTCATTGCTGTATCCCTAGGGTCCTCCTGGAATCTCCGGGGAAGACGGCGTTATCGGCAATCAAGGAGAACCAGTATGTATAACAATAAATAAATCATTTTGAACCATATAATTATTGTTAATGCTACATTGCCACAGCGTAGCCGAATATTCCCATGGATGACATATATGTACATATATGTACATATATAGGGTGAGACGGTTAATCGACGCACGCACCTTGTTAGACTTGCTCCAAGTCGACCTCCAGGGACATCATATTACTTTCAAAAATTCATTCGCATAAATAAGGACGTATTAAAGGCGAGGGACTTTGCGAAAGTCTAGCACCTTGTATACATGCATTATAATTTCATTCTTCCATGAGCTACACTTTTTCACCAATTATTTAGGTTCACATTTATGCAAGATTTTGCTTTTATATTTTTTACTTATAGCATATTATTGAAATCAATTTGCAACGACACACGACGCTACTACTGATCATATTTCACAGTCAACATAATTTTCACGATACCAGTTGTAACTTAGTCTTGGGGACTGTTGTTACATAAATTAAAATGATATGACACCAATATAATGGTTCTTATTACCTATTTCAAAACTTAAAATGTGTAAAGAGTACTGATATTAACCTTCCAGCTTTGACGCCGACAAATTCGAATTGAAGAATATTTTATCCTTCTTGATAATTTTACCTCAAAGTTTTCTTTACGTTTAATATATCCAAGTGTATATTATAGCTAACCATTTTCTTGTCTTTAATTAGGGAGATACAGGTGAGATTGGAGCTACCGGTCCACCAGGTCCCTCAGGAGAACAGGTTAGTTCATGATATCCTTGTCGACAAGTTACTTTATTATCATACAAGTATGTTCTAATTTTTGTACATTTGTACAAGTATAAACACATACATATTCATTGTTACACCCACGTCTTCATTTTTGCACCAGCAAGGTATTCATGAACACTGCATGAACCCACTTGTTATGAATAAGTACATGAACAAGTATAGCGAAGTATGTAAAAGTATGTATATTCGTTAACTTTCGACATTCCTTATGATCATTTGTACAAGATATCTTCCATGACAAACGACCCGTATCGTGCACTATCTTGGTTGATTTTTCAATGTGCTGGTGATCACTATGTTTATTTGTTATGGCCATGGTATTAGAGGAAACGAACAATTAACTCAAGATGACATTAATTGCAAAGGAAAATTTGCAGATAAGCTACGAAACTTCGTTTCTGTAGCAGAAACAGTGTTTCCTATCTATGGGCACACCAGGAAACATTTGTCAGATATACGTTTGCCTGTAAAGTAAACGGCGTAAACTGCTCAACCACAACAAATAATGGTTTGCAATGGCCAGACATGCATACAGGTTGAATGTCACAACATTCAGTGTATGTGCATCTTTTAGGGCGCGAAAGGTGTAGCAGGATCAGACGGGAAAGATGGAGCTTCAGGTGACCAGGTATATACATTTCAATATTTATAAGGAATAATCTATCTTGAGAGAAATCAATGATGGTATTTTTCCACAGCCAAGGGAATATTTTTGATCCCAAGATGATTCTGGCTGACTGTATCAGTTTTGAGCACAAATTTCACCTGTGGGGCGGAGTTACTCATTTTCTCGTACACACGGATGATATGCAAGCGGGAATTTAGTGGGGAATAAAGGATATTTTGAATAACAACAAGCAGTTTCTGCTGTCATACATCTTCTTGCATATATATATATATTTACTTAGGGACCTGCTGGTGCCAAAGGTTATGTTGGATCAGATGGTGCTTACGGACGAGATGTAAGTCCGCTTAATTAAATCAGATTCTTATCACTATAATGAGCGTAACTGTCTGAGTCGTAAAACGCTGGGTTCGGCCATTTTTCAGCTAATGTTGAAATATTCATTTATTTTCCTTGCAATGTGTTTTTTTTGCTCCAGGGTGTAGTTGGTTCTAGAGGCAGCAAAGGTGAACGTGGTCTTGTTGGTGAGAAGGTAATACTGAACGTGTCTTTCAGAAGCTAGGTCAAATGACAGGAATGCCATTTCAATGATATGTACGAATGTCACCAAAACACAAATCAGTGTGCTGCAAAATTGAACCGAACAACAGTTTTTGTGAAAATTATGAAAAGAAAGGATAGTCCACATTCAGCCTGAAAGAATATTTGTATCCCCTAGCTCAAGTAACAGTTGATGGCAAAATCCTGGCCTTTTAACTAGTTAGTTGTCATTCCATTAACCCAAACAACTTGTAAAATACATACGATGAATTATACTCCGATTACAAAAAACCTTTTCCTAAAACTATTAAGATTCATGTCTAAGAGAAGATCTCGCTTGTATGACCTTTCTTCCATGAAGTACTCTGATTTATCTCCGAGACTTTTTCCAGCCATGACATACGCTGGATCATAGATATATATCTATGCGCTGGATATATTTTGTTATTCTAGGGTGTAAGCGGTGACATCGGAGTGCAGGGAATAGGCGGTAATCCTGGTGTTTCTGGAGGCCTTGGTGCAAAAGGCCAGCAAGGTGATGAGGGGCAAAGAGGAAGTGAGGTAATAATTAAGAATAATTTGAGCACTCTATATATATTATATAGTCGAAGAAATGTAATGCAGACTACACGCTGTTGCAATAATGATAGCATATATCTGAATGTCAGTGGCGGAGGAACCGGGGGGGGGAGATAGGGGGCATCATGTTCTCCACCCGCCTCAATTACCTTAAGTTAGTTACCCTTTGATCTCATTATTATTTTCTATTCATGATTTTGAAATTTGTCCTAACTTGCTGCCGCTATAATAGAGCTACGTTAAATTAAACAGTTTATATTAATAATTATAATAAATCTGGCGTACCCTGTAAATCTACATAGCGAGTAAATTCAATGAAATTTAATTTTTTGTGATTTATTTTTCAGGGCGAACAAGGCGGGGTTGGTGAAGCGGGTGTTAATGGAAAGGTTGGGTCTAAAGTAAGTGATTCTTACGAAATGTTCTTGAGATGTTTTATGTAGAGCAATCACTCATCTGTGCGATTGTATACCGTTAATTCACACCAAAAATCGTCCATCATGTGGTTTGTAAGAGGAAACGTTATAGATGTTTGAAGCAGGCCTGGTTGTCCAAATATTATATTTAATGCATGTTTTAGGCATTTAATTAAAGCCCGTTCTCCACTAGGCGAATTTGTTCGCGCGAACAGTAAAAAAGTAGGAACTGATCCAACTTTTTCGCGGCGAATTTTTTCGCTGACCAATCACATTGCCAAGATTTGTTTTTCGCTTCGCGTCGCGCGAAAAAAATCGCCTAGTGGAGAACGGGCTTAAGGTGGTCTTCCACCCAAATTTTCCAATATTCGTTATTTTTTAGAAAAACGTAAAAATGTAGTCTTTATAGCGTTCTTTATAAAATCCGTGTAATTTTAAGAACGAAAATGTACCGTAAACCAGAGAAATCCAGCAAATTCTACACCTTCGTAGGGTAAAACCACGATTTTACCCGGAGCGATAAAGATATGCGATTGGTTTAGTCTATTGTTCTATCTAAGTTATTCTAATATATGCAAAAACTTTAAAATCGCTTTTCTCACATGAGCATTTTGCGAAATACTAAAAACTCTCCTACTGTTCATACTGAATCAATTCGTTCGAAATTTTCAGAGTTTATTTGCTTGTTATATAGCCATGTCATGGACCTAAAAAACTTCATATATCAGCAATATACATTGCAAGAGTAGCCTTATAAGAACTCCTTTCTTCATATAATTTTAAAAAAGTAAAATATGAAGGCCTTATTATATTACTTGTATATTTTTTTAGGTTCATGACATAGATCGATGTATTAAGTGTCCATTAAAGCTGTTTCTAAAATCCTCGGTAGATTAGTTTGGCTCACATCATTTTTGGAGCAAACCCTATATTTTACCCTATAGCGAGGCCTATCTTAGTTACTATGGCAACGACGAATGTAAAAGTTACTGATCCTGCGTCAGCTGGGGATATTCCATCATATTTGACTCAAATATGATGATAAAACCTTTAAATTGAAAAAAGTGTTTTTAGGGTGGAAGACCCCCTTAAGGGCGGACGATTAGAAAAATGATGGGGGAGTGGGACTTTTTTAAGTTGTACGAATATTTTTTAAATATTTTTTGCTTGTGTCGATAATTTTTTTTAAATAATACAATCCCTTGCACGAATTTTTTTATTTCAACTTATAATTTTCCCTATTGAAAAGTCTCCGCACGAATTTTTTTTTCAAACTTTCTTGGTATACGAATTGTTTTATTTCTGTTTCCCCTGCGCGATTTTTTTGCTCCCCCCCCCCATCACTTTTTTAATGGTCCGCCCCTAACTTATCTTCATTTAACTTCTTATCTGTATTTAACTTCTTATCTTCTTACATGCTATCTTTCGATATTTTTGCTACTGGCAATTTTCTTTTGAAACAGGGTAAACAAGGAGCTAGGGGTGCAGGCGGTGCTAAAGGTACATCAGGCCAAAAGGTAAAGTCAACCAATATAATATATTATAATATAGCATTTGTAAATTCTGAACGCTGATTGGCTAAGAGCCGTGTTGATATAACTCAATATCATCACGGAAAATTTCTTTCTTTATATTTCTTTGTGCTATGTTATAAAACAAATTATAATATAGCATTTGTAAATTCTGAACGCTGTTTGGCTAAGAGCTGTGTTGATATAACTCAATGTCAACACGGGAAATTTTCCGCCGCTCGTAAACACGGAAATTTTTCTAATCCTTCGGGCTTTTTGACATTGCTATATTATAAAAAATATATAAAACATTTTTCCGTATTGATATATAGTTATATCAACACTCGTGGAAGTTGGGAAAACTCGAAATTGTATGAAAACACTCCGCCCTTCGGGCGTCGTGTTTCCATACAATTTCTCGTTTTCCCAATTCCACTCGTGTTGATATAACTGTATATCAACACGGAAAATGTTTTATATTTGTTAAATATAAAACATTTTTTCCGTATTGATATACAGTTATATATTCAACATTCGTGGAAGTTGGGGAAAACGAGAAATTGTGTGAAATATAATATAACGTTAACGTAGCTATATAGTTTTGGTTTGGCTATGCAACAATTGTTAATCTATAACTATAATGGTTGGTTATGGTATTTATGTAAACACCAGAGGTCGATCTATATATGCAATCTAAACTTCTTCAAGGTCCCTCTACTTGTGAAATAAAAGTGTTTTGTCACGATTCTCTTGCCTGACTTAATTAATGAGCTAATTTCCTAACAAAAAATTCTTTAGAAAATTATATTTTTCCGAACTATGCTTCATTTGTTGCTGTTGGCAATAAAGGCCATCCAATAATCTTGATGCAATAATTTTGAATTTTCTAAAAGGTATTTTTTTACCTGCATTGACCAATTATATTAATTGTCAGTTTCTTGCACGTTTTAAGTTAAACTTTGGTATCAGGGCCATTGCGAGCAGCCTTCATTTGGTGGGGTGAGCAACAAAAATCTACTTGATATACCTTGTTAATAATTTTACCTGAAAATGTGGTATCGTATTTTCCGATAAAAGTTAAAATTTTTCCGACAACATTTCACCACAAATTAATATTTCTCAAATATTTTAGTTATTTTCTTTCCTATCCAATTCACGTTTTGCCGACTATGAAAACATTTGACGACCACTCCTTTGTCGACAAGATGTTTTCAATCCCCCCCCCCCATTTACCTGATTTATATTGCCCACAATTATTGGGGGGGGGGGAATATCCGTCACCCCCGGTCGCTACGGCCCTGTTTGGTATATACTAAGGTTCAAATTATAACTGGCGCACAAAATTTCCATATATTAATTAATATGCGGGTTCGATTCCCACCGTGTTCAATTCATGCAAACGTTTCAGCTTCCCCCGGTGTGGATGTATACACGCAGAGTAATATCACAAACATCATATTCACCTGAGTACATAACACCAACATACACAAAATGTTTCATGACGTTTTCTGTGTAACTTTCCCGTCCAAACACATGGGAAAGTTAAGTTAAACGGGAATCCTGTCTAGACGAGAAACTCGTCTTAAATTCGCCTTCAGATGCATGAATAATACGGATAAAGCGTTGCCAAGCATGGTAAAAAAAAGTGATTGAAATGGAATTAGAATTATTGAGATAAACATATAAAATTATATTATGTACTTTTTAAAACACGAGCAATTATAAATTAAACTCTATTCAGCTGTGCATGAACTGTTACATTTATTGTCGTTACTTTACAATCCGTTGTATATAGCAATACTGATTTGTTTCATTTTAGGGCGGCAAAGGAGAAGAAGGAGGTGTGGGTGGAAATGGTGGTTCCGGATTACTGGTATGTCAACATTGGATTTATTGTGAGCATATTAATAAAATAATTTTACAGGTTACTGATTCCATATTTAACTTTTTAAAAAACATTCATCGTTTGCAAACCTTTGAAAGTGTATTGTTTTTGGTGGACATCATGCAGAATGGATGCGCTGTCATGTTTTTGCAGATGCTGTACAACGTACATATATATAGTTGCAACTTCCATTTCTGTACACATATTAAGTCGCTTCTCGTTTTTATTAGGGTGCTAAAGGTGAACCTGGTGGAGCCGGAGTAGCTGGTTTGAAAGGCCCTCAAGTAGGTGACTGATGCATGGTTTCGTAATATTTCATAAGCTACACTAATGAGTTTGTTTGATCTAATCTGTATGTTCATCACTTTTGTTAAACCGTGGTAATTTCAATTGATAATTTGTTGTTATCAGGGTGATCCTGGTTTCCTTGGTGAGCCTGGTGATATGGGAGGAAGAGGAAAACTGGTACACATGAAGCTTAAGATGATCATCAACAAAATAAACAATAACAATAACAATAACAACCACATGCAACAACAAAAACATGACAACATCAGCAACAAAAAGAGCATAGCAGCCATAATAACAATAAAAACAGTGTTAACTGCAGCAACATAACAACAAACAATTAACAACAGGTTGTCTAAACGTCCAGTAAAGATTGGACTTTATACCTAACCACACCGTCAGATACGTATTCTATATATTCTATATATGTTAAAGTGTTTAGTGAACTTTAGTTTTGCATATTTTAGGGAGCTGATGGTGGTCATGGCATGGCAGGCGCATTAGTATGTATATCTAAATTGTATATTTAACTGAAATATTTTCGAGAAATAACACGTGATTTATCGTTTGACTTTCATTTTTCTTTTTTTGACACTTCAATAGGGTGATAGTGGACCGAAGGTAAGTGTCTGTTTCTTAGAACTAATGACGTAATATAAACGAAACTACATATTGTTATTTTGGATGTCTTAAAGTATGTCATTACATATCTCCATGGTTGCCATATACTACCCCTCACAAACCCCTCACCAGACCATTGTTATATATAATTGAAACACCTGGCGGGACGCGAAGGCTAGTGAAGCATTCTTTCCCATAAATAAAGCATCAATATTTTTATTAATAATTAGTTTTTGACATTTACTATATTATAATAGGGATGACCAAATCGTATTTCTAATAAGAAAACAAAAATAAGACATGTCTGAGCTTTGTTGGTAACAGCATCTAAATGTAAGATATTCATTAACATGTTCTGTTACTGAACTATTAGTGTTTTTTCGTTTCTAGGGACGACAAGGTGGTGCTGTAAGTTGCTTTTTATTTATTATATTTTATTCTGATGTGCACAGGCAAGAATAGGCAAAAACATCTTATTTCATCAAATACACTGGATAAATGCTGAACATTTTAAGATATTCGATCTGTAAAAAATTGTTTTAATTTGTGTAGCCATGTTCCCAAAGTGCAAAGGTGCAGTGCAAATCAGAAAACATTTCCCAAGGCATTTTCCTGTATAGTTAAGAGCAAATTTGTCTGAAAAATTGCTCAATAGACTGTGACATGCGTGTGCACATATATACAAGACAAGTTGAAGAATGAAGGTTAAAAACTAAAGAAAACAATGTTTTCAACAAACTAATCGTTCGAAACCACTTTGAAAAGATCAATATTTTTGCATGTTTCCACTAGAGTGCTTCCTTGACCTTGTTTCTACAGACTCTAACTTCCTGGATTATATTTTTAGGGTCCTCCTGGTCCACCTGGCCCTCCAGGATCATCTACTCATGTAAGTTTACTGTGCAATTTAGCTTTTTCAAGGCTAGTTAGTATCGACATAGTTAAAAAGTATGACACAATTTTCGTAAACAAACATCCAAGGTTGTATAAAACTCAAAAACATACGGTTTTGATTGACTAATGCATCAGTCAAATCCAAGCGTGCCCTTCCCCCCTCCCCCCGCCCGGGCCAACCACCGAAATAAAACAAACTCCATGTTTTTCCTCTCAAACTCTTCCATGATAGAATATTCAATATAAACCAGTCAAGTTGTAGTTTAAAAGGGATGGACATGCTTGGATTTGGCTGAGGCATAACTTTCGCACTAACTGTAGTTAACTTTAACCACCTTTTTATACAACCAGCCGCAGAGGCAGATGCAGGGGCGTAGCAACAGGGGGCACGTGCCCCCCCATTTTTTTTCAAAGGACCAAGAGTGCCCTTTTTTGTGATGAAAATTGCCCTTTTTGTACAAGATAATGTCGCTGTAAATACTAAATTAACATCAAAGGTGCCCTTTTTGTTTGGAAATTTCAATGTTTTTTTAAAAAAATTGGTAAAAAATGTGCAATTTTGGTACGTTGACGGGGAAATTCAATCTTTTGATGCTTCCTACCCCCCTGGATAGATGCATCCAAGCTTGCTGGGATGTGGTACTGGTACACCACCTAGATTAAGCGCAACCACGACCAGAGCTGCTGTCAAGTTTCTTAAATCCTTAGTAGTTAGTTTTAAAGAACTGACCTTCCATTCCTTGGGGGTGTGCAAGAAGAAGCTAATATACCTCGAGAATTCTAGGAATCTGACATGGCCTGACATCGATACGAACTGCCCCCCTGTTCTGGGCCTTGACTTGTTCATTCCAGTGTCCATCACGTTTCAAACAATCTCGAAATACTTTATTGAATATGTTTGTGATAAAATATGAGTTTGTTTCATGCTTCATTACTCGTGCTTCGTTTGTTCACAGAGTAGATAAGACATACAGAGACGTAACTGACCGTTGTAAACACTGCGGAAGATTACGTTATCATGTACCCACTTTTTTCAGGCGACCGGGCGAAAAATGATCAACTGCGCGTGCTCAGCAAGTTTAAAGTGAGTCGTCATCAGGTCGTCATCCAATCAGATGCATGCATCTAGTAACTTGCCGAGCATGCGCACAAAAAAAGTGGGTACACTGGTTACGTCTCTGTATGTCTCTACTCTGTGGTTTGTTTGATAAATGATAAAATAAGATTTGAAAATTCCTGCCAAAAAACGAAAACTTGAGCCCGCGATAAAGTGTTGTAGCGATACTTCATCTAAGAAACTAAGATGCGTTTAAGGAAATGTTAGTCATCTTATTTATCTTAATTATTGTATAGCTTTCGAAAAATAGACGAAATAACGGGTTGCGCTTAACACGCGTGTCGGACACGGCCGTGCAGAAATACGGATTAAAATGTTAATTGGGTATTGGGCAAACGCTGAAACGCCATAAGGACATCAAGCTAATAAGCTTTAATTATTAAGAAGTGTCCTTTTGGGAAAGTGGCGCATGCGCCACCATGGACGTACGAGAATTGAAAGATCGATAAGTTGGGAGGGGATGGAAAGTAAGAAAAAAAAGAAATTAGTAAAAAGTTAATATCTGTGTATCATGATATATACAAAGGGTTCCAGTTGCAGCTATGAAGTTGGTAGAATTTGGGGGAGTGAGGGAGGATTTTATGTTTCAGGATGAAAAATTGGTTATATCTTCATGTTTCGAGCACAATGGGGTTAGGGAAGGGGATGAGATTGAGGTGAAGATCAAAGAGAAATATATTCGTGCGTGAAACATGAAGGATGTTACCGAGAAGTGGTTTTCTGCAAATTTAAGCATATACGCGTATGTGTAATGTGCGCCACTGTTTGCATTATAATATACATGTTTTGAATTGAAACTATAAGCGCCAGAACTGGCTAGCATGGTTGCGATACATTAAAGCTAATGTACCAGTTTGATCTTCAGAGACCAGCAAATTCTTACTATAAATTTTGGATTGTGTTGCCAGCTTGTAACTAGAAACCCATAAAAATACTACGTCAATCTATCGATTACAAATGTGTGTTTTCTTTACTGTCGATCTAGTCTGGTGTGGCTGGTGGTGAGACGTTAGTGGGAACATCATCTCAAAAAGGACCTGCACGTGAACCTGACTATTATCGTACCCGAATGGTAAGCTCAGAATGATCTAAGACCGCTTGTGACCATGAATTTAATTTTACTTTATTTCATGCCATAAAATCGTAGTGAAAAATGTCACCCTGTAGCAGTTCAAGTTTGAGTAACCGCACTATGCTCAAACCGCAGCTCATAGGCGTGTAACATAATTTATTTTCAAAAGTGTTGAAAAACGGTGAAGTACCCAATTTTTTATTGTCTTGAAGGCTAAATTTTCTCTCGCTTCATATTTTCTATAATAGATTCTTAATTTTACCTTTCTGGGTATATCTGATATTAAACACCACTGATAAGAATCATAGCGATAAAAAGTATTGTGTGGGATATATTATTGAAGATAATCTACGCCAGCAATGACAAACCTGCACTAATATGAAATATGGGATGTTGATTATAGTTCATTTTGATCATTTTCAGGAAGAGCTACTTAATGAAGTTGAAGAAACTACACATTCTAACGAGATTGATACACGGGTAAATATTACCAAAGCGTAATATAATCAGTCACGTACCTTCGCGTGTATACACTTTACAATGTTACAATGTTATAAGCTGTACGAAATTATTTCGTCCATTAGGTAGAACCTCTCCGCTCCATAACATCAGCCATGAGAGATCTTGATCTTCTTAAACATCCTGATGGAAGCAAAAAACATCCTGCATCAACCTGCAAAGACCTTCACATGTCTCATCCAAAGTTAGAAAGTGGTAAGAATTTGCTTGGATGCTTAGCCGGTTCATGTATATTGCCTGTATATATAATATGCCTATGTACCGAAATATGGTACATACGGTACTCGTCACGTACGCGTCAGTCTATCTTAATACGGTATGAAAAATTACAAGAAACCAAAAACGTTCAATGCCGGTTTGAAGGTGGACATTATTTTTTTAGCATATCTCTTTTGAAAGTTTTATTTTTAACATAAATCGATTCCAGAAATCCAAATTTTCTTTTATTTAATATTTAGGTAATTATTGGATTGACCCCAACGGTGGGGTTGCTAATGATGCTGTGTTAGCACATTGTCAATTTGAGAGTTTAGCGACATGTATCTTGCCTAACAAGCTTCAGGTAAGATTTGACTAAACTGTACTACGACAAAATTACAAATAACGTTAAAGATGGGCACAGTCCGCGCGCACGCGTGTTGAAGTGATGACAACTATTTATATATTTTCCTGTTTCAATTGAGAAAACAAATTATCAAGGGAGCATGCGTGGTCAGACTTTGCAAAAAAATAGAACCTTGTTAATTTAAGGTGTCTGTATAACGAACTGAAACATCCAATTTACGCATGCACAAAACGGACTGTACCGCACCATTAACGTTATGTGAAAAAGCTATGTAAAACTGAATTCATTGTAAAAAATACTTTTTATTCATATATAAATATGCATATGACTATACGTTATATATTCAGTCCTCTGAATATTAGTGTTCTCATCTCAAATATTGACTGCGTGGATGAATTCAAAACCTCTAATTAAAACAATAAGCAAACCTGTAGAATCGCTGAAGCTCACAGAATAGGCGTATGAGACAGGGTGGACTGGCTGCGACCCATACCCCCACCCCCGCCCCCAGAGGTCAGTGTTTGGTCGGGCAGGCCATGGTAGGTATTAGTATTGATTGAAATTTATTTTATATATTGAATAATTCGAATTGCATGCAGTAGAATGAGATCCCAGAAAAACTCGTAAATACAGTCGAACCTCTATTAAGCGGCCACCCTCGGGGTCGGCTTTGTGGCCGCTAAATAGAGGTACGCAAATAATAGACCCTGGGCGTAGTCATGCAAATGTCTATTTCTAATTATAAATCACAGAATACAATAGTGAGGAGACTTTAGAAATATCAGGCCGCCAAACACCGACACTTTTACTACAGACTTTTGAGGTGTAAAGTGGCATGTGTTAAAACATAATTTTTAAGCATTATTTTACAAATAAAGCAAATTAGCTCGACTTTTATTTGCGGCTCTCTTGACAAGGTGTTGCGCCAAGTAAATCCTGCAAACTGGCCGCTTAATAGAGTGAAAAATTGACATAGAACATCATTTGGGACCGCTCTTTGGGTGGCCGCGGCCGCTTAATAGAGGTGGCCGTTTAATAGAGGGATAGTTTATAGTATTTGTATTACAAAAATTTCGGGACTTCGATATGTGGCCGTTTAATAGAGGGTGGCCGCTCAATGGTGGGCCGCTTAATAGAGGTTCGACTGTGGTAGTATATTCTTATTTATCGTTTTACGATTGACTTTATTTCCCCGGGTCCTACGTCATATCTTCCTTCTATTCATCTACCAGGGAATGTTACCTCATGCTAATGAGTGTTGGAAACCTTTGCGTTTGGAATTAAAGTCCTACAAAAGGATGCTAGAGCCAAGGTCGATCACTTGCTAACCGACGCTTTACCACATTTTTCTTTCGTTGTCTTTTTTCCTCAGGTTGAAAAGAGGAGTTGGTACTCTGGCAGAGATCGTTATCTCTGGTTCTCGGAGGAACTAAAGAAAACAAGAGAGGTATGTTCTTCTTAATTCAGATGTCATGCCACGTTGCAATACTACGGAATAGAGCAAAATTGGTTCAATTAGCCTTTCTCACGCTGGCCTATAAGCGTACGAGACAAGGGGCAAGGAAGGGGGGGGGGGGCAACTGCCCCCCAAACTTTAGAAAACCGTGGAAATTCGGGCAAATGCTAGGAAAAGTCAAGAAAATTCGGGCAGATTTATATTAGAAAATATGTTAAATTCAGGTTATTTCATTACAATCCTCCATAAAAATTGCCATACTATTTTTGGGCACTGTATCCCCGAAATGGGGGATAAACCGAGCGTGAGAAAGGCTAATTGAAGTTAGGTTATTAACACTGCATTCTACGTGTACGAGTTAACCATATATTATTAATAATTAGTAATGCATGGTTGCCTTTTATTTCCAGATTCAATACTCCGTGGATGGAAATCAAATTCGTTTCTTACAAATGTTCTCAGCAAAAGGATGGCAAAACATCACCTACCATTGTCGCAACTCAGTTGCTTGGAATGATGAAAATAATAGTAAAACGAATTCAATCAAATTACGTGGTGATAATGGCATGGAATATCACGCATTAAGTGCCAAGAAATTCAGACCTAAAGTTATTAAAGATGACTGTAATGTAAGTATTGAACCCATTATTAGTTCAATTTCAAAATTTCTGAATACTAATAATACAATTAAGGAATACAATCAGCCTTTCTCACACCATGCGCCCTTACTAAACACTTCGTCGCTTACCTCATTCGCAGAGGCCGCTTTCTAATGTACTTTTTCGACTGTGCTTTCTGAACTGTACTTTTTGAACTGTGCTTTCTGAACTGTGCATTCTGGACTGTGCTTGCTGGATTGTGTTTTCTGAACTGTGCTTTCAGGACTGTGCTTTCTAGACTGTGCTTTCTGGACTGTGCTTTCTTGACTGTGTTTTTTGAACTGTGCTTTCTTGACTGTGTTTTCTGAACTGTGCTTTCTGGACTGTGCTTTCTTGACTGTGTTTTCTGAACTGTGCTCTCTTGACTGTGTTTTCTGAACTGTGCTTTCTGGACTGTGCTATCTGTTGTGCTTTCTGGATTGTGATTTCTGAACTGTGTTTTCTGAACTGTGTTTTCTGAATTGCGTTTTCTGAACTGTGTTTTCTGAACTGTGTTTTCTGAACTGTGTTTTCTGAACTGTGTTTTCTTTCTGAACTGTGTTTTCTGAACTGTGTTTTCTGAACTGTGTTTTCTGGACTGTGTTTTCCGGACTGTGTTTTCTGGACTGTGTTTTTTGAACTGTGTTTTCTGAACTGTGTTTTCTGAACTGTGTTTTCTGAACTGTGTTTTCTGAACTGTGTTTTCTGGACTGTGTTTTCTGGACTGTGTTTTCTGGACTGTGTTTTCTGGACTGTGTTTTCTGGACTGTGTTTTCTGAACTGTGTTTTCTGAACTGTGTTTTCTGAACTGTGTTTTTTGAACTGTGTTTTCTGGACTGTGTTTTCTGGACTGTGTTTTCTGAACTGTGTTTTCTGGACTGTGTTTTCTGGACTGTGTTTTCTGGACTGTGTTTTCTGAACTGTGTTTTCTGAACTGTGTTTTCTGGACTGTGCTTTCTGGACTGTGCTTTCTGGACTGTGCTTTCTGGACTGTGATTTCTGGACTGTGTTTTCTGAACTGTGCTTTCCGGAATGTGCTTTCCGGATTGTGCTTTCTGGATTGTGATTTCTGAACTGTGTTTTCTGAACTACGCTCTCTGGACTGTACGTTCTGGACTGTGCTTTCTGAACTGTGCTTTCTGGACTGTACTTTCTGGACTGTGATTTCTGGATTGTGATTTTTGAACTGTACTTTCTGGACTGTGCTTTCTGGACTGTGCTTTCTGGGCTGTGCTTTCTGGATTGTGCTTTCTGGATTGTGCTTTCTGAACTGTGCATCCTGAACTGTGCTTTCTGGACTGTGATTTCTAGACTGTGTTTTCTAGCATTTCACACCTCCTCCCTCTCAATATCTACATGACCCCTCTCTGGAAACAACAAAACTCGCATGACCCCTCCCCCAAGAACTTTTGTGACCCCCCCCCCACCATTTTATATAAAATACATTACAAGTGTATAAATATGGTACGTCAGTACCATATCAGTTGAAAAATTAAAAAATCTTTATTTTATGACGTTAGTAATAGTGCAAAAGCTCCTGTAAACTTTTCAAATTTTCATGTTCTATAATAACATATTTTAAAGAGGTCAAAACATTGCCAGAACTAAAACTTTCCCCCCCCCCCCTCTAAATTACTCTTCAAACTCTGGTGACCCCCAAAAACAAACACCAAACTTTTTTGCCCCCGAGTCAAACTGATTCAGATGAGGGAACGTTTCGGACGAGGACTAATGTAAGGTAATTGCATGCGGATTGCGAGAGATACAACTGCTTGAAACGTCGAAGTTCTGCTTGTATTTTTGAAGTAGTTGTATCTCTCACATACACTGGCATAGGCCGAACGTTGCGATCTCCGGCTTAATGTCTTATCAAGGGTCATCTAAATTCACAACGTTGCTCTCTCGATGGATGACGTCTCGGCCAACAAGGTGGAGTTAGTCCGCCCTGTTGCAGCAAAACTACAGCGCGCGTGTTATTCTGATATTTAACTTTCCTTGTTATTCATTATAGAAAAAAGACGGTCAATGGCATCAGACTACATTGCAAGTAGACACGGCGAACACGGCACGACTACCTATTCGTGATGTCGCTGTCTACGATATCGGTGGTAAAAACGAGGAATTTGGAATTGAGTTTAGCGCAGTTTGTTTCTCTTGAAGTTGAAGCAATAGACTACGCACTATTATATCAGGGTAAAGATAGAACTACAAAAGTTTCAATTAACCATTCTAGAACATCATTAGAAATAAATGACATGCATCACTGTTATGTTAGTAAATACTGAACCTTTTTTCGTGTAAAAATGCATGGCATAGACCATTGAACCGCGAAATTCGAATAAAATCTAATTATATTCTGTTTTAAGCACGTTAAGTTTAATACTAGAAAGAAATTCAAGGTTATACAGCTCTAATCAAAATGAAAAACAACACAAAATTTATGACGGAAATAATCTTAACATCACAGGATGTCTCAATTATAGTCTATTAGAATTTCAAATCGTTTTATTTGGCATTATAAATATGTTAATCTGTATCTCTTAGACTTATTACAACACAGTTGGAAAATATAATTAGCTGTGAAATTTATTTAAAATCACATTTATGCCATCTTTACGCGCAATTACCTCGGTACATTTGAGATCCAGAAGGGATTCCTTGGGGCATGGGAGGACCAACTATTAATCGGAAAGCGCATGTGTGCATTCGTTATGGAAATTTATGACAGAGTCTTTATGTGAAGTCCAATATATAACATGTACACATTTTCTTGTACAAACAGTCGCAAAATATGCTAATCGTGTATATGCAGATAATTTGCACTATATATTTGATCAAAGAAAAAAATAATTTGTCCAGAGAGATGTTGACTAACAAGCAACTAACCAAGCCACATTCCCGCGTAGCTATTGTCTGAACATTGCGTGAACTGTAATTTGATACTTCCCAACACATAACGACTTAATAATATACACTAACTGAACCGGGGAGACAAAACGAATGAGAAAAACAGCACAGATTTTATTTTAATTTCTTACAGTTGTAGTAAAAATACGCTTTTCGAAAAGAAATTTCCATGTCGTGAAATTAGAAGTATTAATCTTCTTAAAAATTACATTAAGTGTTGCACACTTACGAAAATTAAGTAGATTTAAAATTTGGGACTTAACGTCGCTATGTCTTGCGGTTCCCCCTGCCTGTACCGGTGGAGAATTAAGACGCAAAATTAAAACTATCATGGAATGTTGAAGTTTAATTTTCGTGGCTTGACAATGCGCCTATGTTCACGTTGTAGTGCATGAATGCGGTGTTGATCAATCGCTTGCCGTGACTGGGAAGAGCTGCTTGTCACGAACATTCACGCTTTAACATTCAAAATTCAGGCAGTCGGATCCCAGTTCGAAGTGCCTGATTTAACGTGATTCCAGCACTTGACTGTAACTTCGAAGTAGCGCAATTGTTAGAGTGAATTGGAAGGTGTGTATGTCCTAGTCGCCATGAAGGAAGCGCTAAAATTATGTTTCTTGTTGCTCGTGGTATCGGTCGGACTATCAGAAGGTAAGAAAATGCATGTTTTATAATCTCCGCAAATTGACTTATGTAAATATTTTTACGAAAATATTTGTTCTATCTATAATTTTAATGTTATATATATTATTAACTGACAATGATATTGACTGGAGTTATTATTAGTGGCTCGTATATTATACATGTACAAATAACGAAATATAGCAGCCAGTCTAGTTAGAATGATATATTCACTCCAAAGTATTTTTTCATATTAAAACGTGTGATATTTTCAGCTTGTGCTTCGGTTCTGTTTATTCATCATTTGTACTTGATATTCTTGTGGTTATCGTCTTACATTTCGACTGTACGTATGATTGTCACAAATTATAGGTCAGGATAATATCAACGCATTGCATGCGCGCTGATCAGAAACGTAGATTTCCGTTAAACATGCGTGGTCACGATTTAGCAGTTGCATGCTGTTGTGATCATGCAAGTCACAGTTGTTGATGTGTAATAGTCTGGTCTAATGTGGTCTTGTCTGCATTCATCTTGTGTACAGTGTACCAAGTGTGCGAATATACCCAATCATACATTTCCATGCTTTATAACCCAATATGACACCTGATATTTAACATCAATATCAAATAATTTAATATTTATTCAAAATACAAGTAATCATAATTGTTCTGTTAGATCGTAGTCTGTCGTGAAATTATTATATGTGCGCAGTTTTATAAGGAAAAATCGGTGAGGCAAATGAAATTGACAAGACTAGCAATTATTCGAGTTGCGTGACCCAGGAAATTTTGTCTTATGGTGCTGTCGCACAAAGTACCTTTCCGTCTGCTCTATAATTAAGAGTATACACAATCTGCAGAACTGCTGAATAGACGCCAGTAAGGATACGACAAAATAATTCTGTTTTACTGCAGGCTATATTTTTACCAGAACAGTTCATCACAGCTTCTACAATCCTGGGCTATCGATAATATGGATATAATGCTTCAAGCATGCATTACATCATCACTAAAAAAATATTTTGCATGTATTCATAACCTGTATTCATGCTTGTACAAACCTAATTGGACCGTTTTCATGTCCTAAACTGTTCAACAATTTAAAAAACTTTTTGGTCGGGCAGTTTGTGCTTAAAAGTTGGGCAATTAGAAATGATTATTATAAATATATAAATGATTATAAACGTTTTCAAAATGTGTTAATGTATGTTTCGAAATTATTTCCACCTCCCCCCCTCTCGCCATCGACAGGAAATTTAGGGAATGTTGGCCAAATTTTCGACCGCCCCCTAATATTTTTTTCCCGTGCGCCTTTGCGTGCAACCATTCTCCATGGTATATAACTGTATCATATTTTATTAAATTTGAAATGAACTTAATCTTTTCATGACAGATGTGTGAAATTTAAAGATTAAAGACTATATATTATATATCTAAACTAAATGCTGGTTTACAGTATCAAAGTTTCTGTGACCACAGTAAGAATGTTGCATAGGTAAGTTCTAAGTTTTGCAGGATTTGTAAGAAATGTTCGAGAGAACTGACTCAGTCACACTGAGTCATTTCTTACAAATCCTTAGAAACTTTGATAGTGTAAACCAGCCTTAAATTTCTCTTTATTCTGGCATTTAAAAAACAGAATTGGTTGATGCCTGACTTTTTTAAGCCAGTTCAATATAAAATTGGAACATTAAAACTCTATTCGATTGAATCAGCCCCATGTATGTTCAATATGGCCATTGTTTGGGCCGGACAGTTTCTTGTTCCCTGCGGCAAATCCTATTAGATTAATTGTAAAATTGATTGAATTTGTGTAATTTGCCATGTAGCCATATTTACCCTCAACCTTTGCGAAACATGGCTTGGAAAAAAATAAATGAAACGATCGATTTGTCTGATTTGCTGCTTACATGGTCAAGTCTATACTGATTCAGTCTTCTGCGTAAGTGGGCGAGCATCTGCATAAATATCTAGAAATTCGTTATGGCAAGAAAAGGTATCTTTTTTGCGCTTATCATGTTATCCGTTTTTGTTCAAGATTATACCGGGGTCTTGCTTACAAATCGTTTTGGCTATAATTGGAATAGAGTATCAAAACAATACTCAGTAGATATTAATATTACGAAGAAAGCACAACAATAAATTTTAATAGTACGTTTCTGCTCAAAATATATACCATGAATATGCATTGTAATCTAAACTATATAATGTGACATAAAAGTACTTAATTTAGAATTCATGAATAATTAATAAGGTAAAGACTCGATCAAATAGCCCTGTTCAGGTTAAAAGGGACCTTTGTATATCCAATTAATACGTATACGTCAAAATATACTGAATTGTGTGCATCATGAGTATAAGAACTATTCACAACATGAGCGGCCGTGTTGTGTGGTCTTGTATCAGATATGCACACTCCAGCTGGCGTGAGTTGGTATTAATAATAGAACAGTTTAATAATAGAAGGTATATCCAATACAACGCGGACGCGAATGTTGTAATTGTAATTGTAATTGTAGTTGTAAATGGCTTGTGAAAGCAGTGAAACGTCTTGATGAGAACATTCGTATTCTTCAACAATTCTAGTAAAATAAATTGATAAATGATATTTGGTCAGCATGATTTTGTATCAGATGTATACAAACTCCTTCATGGTCATGATTTCTTTTGTGTTTGGTTCATGAATTATTAACGAGTTTCACAATGATAAATACAAATCAGCCGGCCGGTCAGAGGTCAGCCGTTCATACATATTTCAACTAAGATGCAGAAAACAATTACGTATAAGCCCTGAATTAGACTTTCGCAAAGTCAGTTTTCTTTTTTGAGGGTTAGGAGGGAGAAGTCCACTTGTGACAAGCTATAGTCTAGCCCTGAATCCGAGACAATCAGTTATGGGTCAATGAATTTACCTTTAATTAACCGATTTCTTTTAACAGCACGTATATAAACCCTGGAACCCAATTTTTCATGTGCCGAAATTAATGCAAATGAGCTCAAACGTACATTATGATTCGGCCAGGGATTCGGTACATATTTTTAAAACGTGCGGCTAAGAAGGGCTGAAGTGGAAAGGAAACTAAACCATAATTTCTTGTTTTATGTTTTTGAATTAACACACAGTGTGAGGTAAATTGTTTTAATGCTCCTGCAGTGCGATGATAGACAACTGAACTGACAACTTCAACTTGTACAAAAACGCAATACAATTATATAGTTATTTAGACCTGGCTGACTCGACAGCTCAAAGCGACTATGAATGAATCGGGTGCATCTTTATACTAGATCATACTTTGGTCAGTGACCGAGTGCCGTTAGCAGAAATTTTTTGGGGGACACTTTCTTTGGAAGCTTGGTAACCGCGCATGTTATGATGCAATATAGGAAGCCTGTACTGCAGGAAATAGATCAGGAATGCTCTGATGCCACTTATATATTCTATACAATATTCTATACTTATTCACATAACCGCTGCGGTTTTGACGCATTATTCATCGTGTCTTTCCGAAAGCATTATACCCATAAATAAAATGTAATAAAAAGAGAACACATTACAATTTTTTTATAAAATAGATCAAAATATACCATAAATATCCGAGATATTGAATTTTGTTTTGAAGTATGCAATTAGAAAGGTCATAAGTTGCGTGCGTATTCGAAATATAGACATATTATTTGGCTATTTGCAGTTCATTTAACGATATATAAATGTTCACATTCATGAAATTATTCAATTAGGTTGATTAACTATGTGCACTACTAATACTGTGTAAGTGTATGTCACAGATAGTCGCGGTTGAAAACGTGATGTTTATACTAGCCGACAAATGTGCAACCACACACTGGAATGCTTATATATAGGCACACTGATGTCTCATCATGATTATCAAAATTCAAAGATCAAAATTTGCCTGCGCGCAATGCAAAATGCAAACACGACACGTTTATAGACTTTGCATTATAAACTGTGTAAGCTGAAAGCGAGGCAGAATTTCAGTTGTAGTAACTTCTAATATAGATTTTACATTCGTACTTCAGCATTCGGTTTTATACTAGCCCGCGTGCAGGCCCAAGGGAACTGATAGTGGGCCTGCAAGCAAGGCCCGGTATTTTGTAAAACGCCCCTTTTCATAACACGCCCCATTCGCGCGTCAATTGTCAAAAAAGAACCAATGACAGCAACCCAAAAATTAACAAACAAACTCGCATTAAAATGTTGCGGGGTTTTCTCTGCTTTAATATTCAAAATAGAAACAATGTGTAAATGCCTGTGTTAAAACTCCAAAAAAAGCAAGCAACGCAGTCAGTAATTGCCAAATTTACAAGTGCTCATTTTCAACTAAAATCGGAACAGGCAAATTAAGACGAATTTCAACAGAAAACCAGTCTCAAACTTCAAATCGTGAGGGAAGTCGTGCGACCACATCAGCATTTATAATGTTGCTTCGCTGTCGCCATTGTTATAAATAAATTGTCTCACTTATCAGATCGTGTGTGCAATTCTTGTTGGCGGCGGAAAGTACGAAATTTATTTCAGTTATTTCATTTGGTGAGAAATCTACAAAAGAAGACAGCGTTCAGAGTCCAGATCGTTTTGTTTCAAACGGCAATTTAATACCGTCTTCTCTTTTGCTCTCTCAGCGAAGCCTTGTAAATCGCAAAGTATTTTGAATAGGCTTACATGCAACTGCAGCTCAACATCAACCAAAAGATAATTTTCTTGAGGAACATATAACGTATCAAGTCTGTTTGAAATTAATGAAACTCAAGTAAAGGTTACTATAGTTTTATACCCCATTCGTAATAAATGTTGCTATTCCAACACCTCACGACAAGCAATCCTCATTGGCATAACGGCAAAAACATCTCTTCCTTCAAGTAAACAATAAACAGTCTGTTCTTGTTCCATTTGTAATCGAAAAAGTGATCAATTTTCGAATTTTAAGCTTATCGAGAGCCTTTGTCTATGCCTTTGTGATGAATCACTGACCTAATTATAGAATCCAACAGCAAACAGCCAATCAGAATGCCGCGTTCGTGGGCGAACGCGGAAAGTACAAAATACCGGGCCTTGCTTGCAGGCCCACTATCAAGTTCCCTTCAGCCTGCTCCCTTGGGCCTGCACGCGGGCGCCACAGGACGAAAAAATAGATTTGCTCCAACTTTGCAACCCCCTGCAAAGGTGCCATTGCCGTAATCGCATCAAATTTGCTATTGTGCAAATTTTGTTCAAATTTGGAAAGCAAATTGGTAAATAAATTTTTACCCTCATATTGGTAAATACAATTCTCTTTTTTGAGAGGGAATGGGTATAGGATAAATTTGGCTCAAATTACCTTTCATTTGCACAAGTGAATTTGTGGGTATTTTCGTCCATAATTTGGTTTCTAAATTTGCCAAAATATTTGCAACCTTGCAAATTTGATGCGATTACGGCAATGGCACCTTTGCACCGGGTTGCAAAGCCTAGTACAAATCTGTTCAGGGCAGTTCAGGCTATTGCCACACACGTTAGTATTTATTTCCGGAAAATTTAAATATTTCCCGCAAAAAAGGTTAGTGATAATAATTATTTATATGAGTACCTGAATAATCCCAAGTTTACACTAAGTGTCCCAATATTATACAGTATTTGCCGTACTGAAGCATGCAAGATTGGCAGCAAGAATCAATTGAGTGCGGAAAATTTAAATAATTCCAATATTTTCCCGTCATTTATATGCTAAATATTTAAATACTAGAAAGGTCCCTGATTACCCTATAAAAGTCCCAAATTATCCTTAATAGTCCCGCAGATCCGAATGTGTACCTCGTGAAGTGATCCCCCAAAAATTTCTGCGTGACGTTTTCTGCGTGACTAAAAATTGTCTATAGTAAATATTCTGTGTAAACAACCCAGGTATGTTACCAACGTCCTCGGAAAAACCTGAATTGTCCGTAATAAAAATTTAAAGAAATGTGGTCGCCTACGAAACGGTATTCGAGCGTATATGCGGCTTTAGGTGACTCAATACGGTTCTTTAGAGAACTAAGTAGTATAGGTCATCCAAGACAACTATCCCGTTTGAGATTACCACCCTCACCTGCAAAGCCTTCAGTCTTGTAAGTGGCTGGAGGTCATGGGATTACCAAGGTAAAGCTCAAGGACGCCAATTCTGGGGGGAATTGGAGGGACTTGTCCCCTCACTTTTTGTGCATTCGTAATATATAATAAATTACGTCCGTTGGTAGACTGGCTTTGTCCCCCCCCCCCCTCCCCTCCACACACGTATTTTAATTTTTTGAAATGGATTTTCGCCCTTGGTAAAGTTTCGCACAGATGAGTATGCTTTTCTTGTTCTGCAGTACTAGCTACCAGCCTACCAGTAGCCTCTAAAAAAGGAAAACTGCAGGTTAAGGAATAATTCCTAGTCTTTAGGGACTTTTAAATTTTACTAAATTACAAAATGCCCAGGAGTCAGTTTTGCATACATGTTTTACATTGATGGCCTGTGTAGCTGGCGGCAACGAAAATTAGTTAGGGAAGCGGCCATCTTTTTGCCTTTCCTGCACCTCGTCTCCCTAATTTTTGCTGCTTGTACATCAATCCAAAACTCTTATAACGTCAGCTACGCAGGTTAGAGCGTTAAATGTTCTTGAACGTCGTGCCCGACATTTTGTTGAAAGACACTTTGCCGAAAGACACTTTGCCGAAAGACACTTTGCCCAAAGACATTTTACCGACGGACATTTTGTCGAACGGACTTTTCGTCGAATTTTGTAGAACAGTTATAAGGATCGGATGCTTTTTGTAAAATATATACGATAATATATATGCTTTTTATGAAATATATACATAATAAACTTTTACCGTCCTTAACGTTCATGAATCATGTTATTCTCAGCTGTAAATATAAAACAAAACATGTTCACTATCAAAGTTTCTGTCATCAAAGTCAACAATGACTTTTATCAAAGACTTTAATCACGGAAACTTCAATGAAGCGAGCCTTTAAAGTTCAGAAAAAATCTCTATTTTCGGCAAATTGTCCGTTGCAAAATTTCTTTCCGGCGAAAAGTCCGTTCGTCAAGATGTCCGTTGGCAAACTGTCCGTTCGGCAAAATGTCTTCCGGCAAAGTGTCTTTAAGGAAAATGTCCGGCCACCCTTGAACGTTTTCCCATTTCCTCATTCATGACATTCTGTGTGTGCCCTGCAGCTGGGAGTACACTTATAGAGAAAAATGCAAAAGCCATGCAGGGTATCCAAAAAGGGGGAGATAGATGAGCAACGCTAGAAATTGGCATTACCAAATCATTTAATTTATCCAATTTTAATTCGAAGAAAAAGCCTCAACACTTAACGCGAAAGCATGAATTGCACTTTAATAGTGTTGTGATAAATCTTTTAATTATGTATTTGTGGAATGAAGTCTTTATACCTTTCTCTGTCGATACAAAACTGGTAACATGGTGCCACAGAATGCAGCAATAGCGCTGATCTTTAATATCAATAAAAATATGAGTAGGTAAATGCATGTCCATAAAATAAAAGTTCGAAATTAACAAATCAGAACAACTTAAGCACCGCAACATCACATTGTGGCTGCGACTGTGTGACTGTACGTACATGTGACTACGACTGTGGCTGCGACCGTGGCTGCGACTGTAGCTGTGCCTACGACTGTCGCTGCGATCATGGCTGTGGCTGTGGCTGCAACCGTGATCGTGACTACTCACGACCATGGATGTGGCTGCGACTGTAGCTGTGCCTGTGACTACGACTGTCGCTGCGACCGTGGCTGCGACTGTGGTCGTGACTGTACGTGACGTACTACGACCATGGCTGTGGCTGCAACCGTGATCGTGACTACTCACGAAAATGGATGTGGCTGCGACTGTAGCTGTGCCTGTGACTACGATTGTCGCTGCGACTGTGACTGTGGCTGCGACTGTGGTCGTGACTGTGACTACGCGACTGTCGCTGCGACCGTGGCTCTGTCTGCGACTGTGGTCGTTACTGTACGTGACGTACTACGACCATGGCTGTGGCTGTGGCTGCGACCATTGATTTTGCACATTTGATTTTATGTTCTGGTTGGGTAGTCTGGGTGTCAACCCAGTAAATTTCGAAAATTTGGGGTCACAGAAATTCCATTTTCTGCACTTCTGGGCAGTTGGGACCAAACGTTGACACCACTTATCAATGTGACTGGGGCAAATCTTGGGGCCATGTTTATCCAAAATAAGTCGCAGGGAAATTGTCCCATTTTTTCCATTTCCGGTAATCCCTTGAGAGTACGTTATGTAACGAACGTGTGTGTGTATAGTAGAATGCAGGCCATGCTCACAATTTCCCTGTGACTTGACTTGTTTTGAATAACATGGTTTCGTATCTGAAATTTCGTTGCAAGTTTGCAAAACGAATTCGGCCTCGTGTAACACGCGGTTTATACCTCCTGATATATTTTTCATTAAAAACTTTGCAGGTCAGACCCCGATAAAATGTAGTCGGAAAACGGACATTATATTCGTTGTTGATCGCTCTGGAAGTGTGAAAGAGGACGATTATAAGCAAATGCGGAGTTTTCTCACAACAGTCGGCGAGGCACTGCAGGTTGGGGTGCAAAGTGGGGACGGTGACGTCTACGGACACGCTGCTGTTGTAACATTTAGTGAGGAGGCGGCAAAAGAGATTAACCTTGAAGAAAGTGATACACCAGGAGCGTTTGCTGCAGCGGTGAAACGCATGTCTGGACCGGAAGCCGGAGGGCGCACTAAAACTCATCTAGCTTTAAAATTGGCTGATGAAGAAGTCGCGATTGAGAGCGCAGGATATCGTGAATCCGAATCCGATGTAGCTAAAATCTTTGTAGTCATAACCGACGGTGAACAAACACAAGATTCACGTTCTACGTATGTTGGTGAAGCAATCAAACCATTCTTTGATCGTGACATGATGCAAGTGTTTGCGATTGGTGTGGGACTCCAAAAAGATAGTGCTAAACAAGAAATCCGCGATATGGTTGAAGAACCCGGCAACGCAATGTTTCCAGCGTCTTATTCAGATTTAATTGGTAACGTTAATAATTTCATCCGAAGTTTCTGTCCAGGTATTTAATTGTTATTTTTTTATATCATGTAATTGACCAAGTTTCCATTTCATTAATCGTGCAATGGAGCATTCCATTGCACGGCCCAGTCCTTCATTTTTATATAATACCTTAATGAATTCTGATCGTTTAATTGGCTGTTTATGGTAACGTGATATTGAATAGAAAATTCCATTTCCCAAGAGTGCAATGGAATACGTTCCACTCTTTGCGAGTGCAATTGTACTATACGTTTATTCCATTGCATGCACTCTTTGTGTTTTGAATGATTTGAAACATTCAGTTTCTGTTATATTTGTGTGTATTTATTTTAATATTAAATGGTTTTTAATAAACTGTTCTTGAAAAAGCGATATTAGTCTATTTGGTATTATATAAAACAAATAATGAATGTTTTTATTCGTGCAATGGTAAGAATATTTTCATTCGGTGAAAGATTGAATGTTCCATCTTTCACCGAATGAAAATATTCTTACCATTGCACGAATAAAAAATTCATTATTTGTATATTGTATTATATCTAGCTTTGTTCCAATCCAAATTAGCATGGTTTCGGGGATGGCATTAAATTCAATTTTTTGTTGCATGGATAGTTTTGAGTAATAACAACAATTTAGTATAATTACATAGGTGATTATTGAAAATTCTCCACGCTGATTGGTTGCCGTTGAGGTGATTATTACGCGATAATCACCTAAACGATTTTCAAAATGGCGGCCGAAGCCTTTTTGTCAATTAAATGACGAAGAAATGTGTATTTTTTTATTTTTTCCAAATAAATCACCTATGAAATTATACTAAAACAATTATTCACCTCAGGCTCGGTGATTATCGTGAATAAAAACCTCGACTTCGTCTCGGTTTTTATTCACAAATAATCACCTCGCTTTCGGCGAATAATTGTTAATTATTATGTTATATAAAACAAGTAATTAATATTTTGATTCGCACATAAGGATGGGCGTTGTGAAAACCCGGAATGCCGGAATATCACGGAATATGGCGGAATATCACGGAATATGCCGGAATATTACGGAATATGGCGGAATATCACGGAATATCACGACATTTTCCCGGAATATACCGGAACATCAGAATATTTTCCGATGGTAGCCATGCGACTGTTTATAAACATGGACATCTGACAACATATTTTATTACAAAAGTGATGGATCTTTCCCATGTTGACGGTATATATAAGTAACAATGACTCTATACTGGAAGTTTATATCGGTTGTTTATATCATTATTACTAGTGTTCACCAAAAATTTTGAATCAATATGATTAATTCCTCTTGAGTTACAGCACCTTGAAGGCCCCTGAAAAACAAAAGTGCTGACGTCAGCATTATTTTCGAAGTGTGTCATACACAAAATTTAGTTAAAATTGACCATTTTATACCACCAAGCATTTATTCAAAAATCAAATTCTAAAATAAAGGCAAGTTTGAGCCAGTTGTTTATATCAGGTAAGAAGTCCCAAGGTAGATGTGAAATTGTCTAATATAATAATAGTCTTTTTGTGTGATACGCAAATCAGTCTTAATGATTGCAGAGTTTTTTGTTGACACTAGCTCTATTACATCAGCCACTTGTCGTGCCAGCGACAACTAACGATCAAATGGAAACTAGGTTTAACACAGTTCTGAAGGCGTTCGAAAATAATGCTGACGTCAGCATTTTTATTTTTCAAGACGCCCCAAAGTTTCAAACTTACCGTCCCAAAGTTTCACCCACCGTTTGCGACGCAGGCTATAACTCAGGAAGAATTAATCATATTCATTCAAAATTTTTAGTGAACACTCGTAATAATGATGTAAACAACATATAAAACTTCCAGTATAGAGGTATTATTTGTTGCTTACCGTCAAAATCCATCACTTTTGTAATAAAATATGTTGTCAGACGTCTATGTTTATAAACAGTCGCATGGCTACCATTGTAAAATATTGTGATGTTCCGATATATTCCGGGAAAATGTCGTGATATTCAGGCATATTCCGTGATATTCCGGCATATTCCGTGATATTCCGCCATATTCCGTGATATTCCGGCATTCCGGGTTTTCACAACGCCCCATAAGGATATTTTCATTCGGTGGAAGAGTTCCATTTTTCACATTATGAAAGTATTAATACTCAGTTATTACTAAACAATGGACACTCCGAAAATCGTTAACATTTTTCAAATTCGACGTTTCGACTAGCTTGCAGTAATAAATGTTTATTACTACTCATAAACATTCATGATTTGTGTTTCAGGAGTGAACCCATGCAGGATCGTAGCGAAGAGGCTAAAGAAGGGGGGGGGGGTAGTATCGTATTTGCCGATAACAGGGGGGCAGGTCCCAAAATTTTCTGGACATACCATTATTCACAAACTTTCCAATTAAATCGTCATTTGTTAACTTTTTCCGTAATTTTCGTAGTAAAGTTAGTAAAATTTTTGCGATAACTATTACTTTTCAGTTCCGAGCTACTCAAATATTTTCGCTGACTACGAAGACAATTTGCCGCTAAATCCGAAACCAATTTGCCGAGTCAAGCAGACATTGCCGAGTCCGTGATGAATAGGGAGGGGGTGTAACCCCCCCCCTATTCATGAGCAATTCAGATAAATGTTAATGCTTGAGTATTACGAAAGTTTCTGTCTACGTCGTATGTAAACCTGATCTTGTATATGCGCAAATTATTCCAATTTTGATTCGCAAAACTTAATTCAAATGAATATGAGGACCAAATGTATATATGATAAAGTGATGCCAATGTAAGGTGTATAGGTAAATTTCAGGCTTTTGGGCATGCATCTCACTCGATGGACCAATAGTTGAAGGGTTTTGTAGATGGAAGTTTGGAGTGTAAATCTTATACATTGATTAGACCAAACCAGGAGCAGTTGCGAAAAATGGACTCATCGGCCCTCTGCTTGGGTAATAGTCTATGAGTCTTATGTACAGTATACAAGTCAATTCTAACCAATACGCACAATATTTAACAATTATTCGCCGAAGGCGAGGTGATTATCGGTGAATAAAAACCGAGACGAAGTCGAGGTTTTTATTCACGATAACCACCGAGCCTGAGGTGAATAATTGTTTTAGTATAATTTCATGGGTGATTATTTGGGAAAAAAATTAAAAATGCACATTTCTTCGTCTTTTAATTGACAAAACGGCTTCGGCCGCCATTTTGAAAATCGCTTAGGTGATTATCGCGTAATAATCACCTCAACGGTAACCAATCAGCGTGGAGAATTTTCAATAATCACCTATGTAATTATACTAATAATAGTTAGCCGCTTTCGTACTGTTTGACAGAAGTTTGAATTTCCAACAAGAAGATCGATATATTGTTATGTTGAAATACTAAATCGAAAAAGACATGAAAATGTCGACATATTCGTGTTTAAAAGGGGCGTTGTGGAAATCCGGAATGCCGGAATATCACGGAATATGCCGGAATTTTGTGGAATATCACGGAATTTCGCGCGACTTTAATTTCGCGATTTTTTCGAAGCAATATTTCGCGAGACTTTATTTTCGAATTAGGACAAGATCATAAAATTTTGGGAAAGCCCTCTCAACAATATTAAATTTTCTTTAAAGATCTAAACTACGACTTTTTAGACAAGTCAACGGCATTCCGCAGCTTTTACTCATGAGATACATCGAGATCCTCAAACGGTTCTTCTGGAGGAAGCAGTCTTCAACGGAAATTTATGCCGGATTTTTGAACTTAATAACAGGTTGACATTTAAGGCATTTACTGACGTTTTCATCGTTATAATTAGTAACAAACAGCATTCCAACACTGATCTACATTTTACCAACATTTGTTGAGTTCTCTTTCTTGCGTGGCCACATGAAATGGCGTCAACATCCACAATTTTTGCATACCCTGAGCATATGGGAGGTTATTTCGCTGGCCTCAGAGTGACAAAACGTAACAAAGCAACGGTTTTACTAACACTAACCCTACTCCAAACACCAACTCTAACCATAATCTTAACCCTAACCTAACCCTACTCTAAGTTTGTTTCTAAACCAATCTTGAAGAAAAAAGTTTTGACGAAATATCATTCTGAGATCAGCGGAACTAACCGTTTCCGAGCATGTGGCCTTGAAAAATTAATCAGTCAATGCGCTGCCATGGAGCTACTAGTCTAGAGAGAACAACAATCGGTTCGGAGTTTCGACTGTGCATCAAATGACATGCTCTAATTCGTGATAAAATAGCCAGCTATGTAAATGACATAGCTGGCTGATGTTTAGTATGAGCAAATTTTTAATTATATACTATAAAGATACCGGTTTTGGCCAGTATTGTAAATGCAAGATAATATGTATTGAATTGACGATTCCCCTTATTACGTTTTCGTAGCGCTTTGCATTGTGGTTATAGTGGTATCACTGATATTTAAGATGGCTTATTTTTTGTCCTGACCCGTGCAAGAACTTTTAAAAAAAGTTACGGTCAGGTGCGCGATAGCCAACAGCAAAATATTCGCGAAAACATTTAACATTTTCATTCGAGGCCGCTATCTTTATCAGTGATACCACTATAACCACAATGCAAAGCGCTACGAAAACGTAATAAGGGGAATCATCAATTACGCACAATTTCGATTAATTCCAGCATATTCTGGAAAAATTTCGCGAAATTCCGCCATATTCCGTAATATTCCGGCATTCCGGGTTTTCATAACGCCCGTTTAAAAGTATAACTATACTGTTAAACATTTGGAAAATAGTCTTTCATCAAGGAAGTAATAAAACACAGTTTTGCATTTAAACTATATACTATACTTGAAATTTTCACCACAATTTCTGTTACCACCCAGTTGCTAAGGAAATTAAGAACGATTTTGCATGGTTGAAGGACTTATAGCTATCGACACCAACAATTCTGTTCGTAAACTGGGTGGACTCTGCGTCCTTCCTATTCACTTCCAGCTATGTAGTAGTTAAAACATGAGCATCTGATCTTTATCTGATATACAAACTCGAGCC